CATACGAGTGTATTTTGGCAGTGCTACAAGTTTGTTGACCAACTCATGTATGGCAGTATCAGCAGAAACTCGATTGATCCAACAGCCATGTATACACATTGTTATCAGTTACATCGAGTGATTGTCCAAATAGGTCGATTCAGATGGGTTGCATATAACCGACTAATCCAGCATTCATCCATTGTCAAACAACCATAATGCACAATACCACCAAGTGTGCAATCACACTCGCACTGATCAGTCATTGCACAGTATGCATCGGTCAATGTCAAACATATGTGTGTCTGCAACTAAATTGCAGTCCATGACACATCCACACGATCCAACATGACAAATCATGTATCATGAGTTCAAGATTGATCAAAAGCCTGATCATGGTAAACCCAGCATGTTGTTGCATATCAGAGTCGATATATTGAGTGACAGTTGCACACTTGCTGATGGTGCACAACGTATCAGTCACAATACATGCACGGTATTGCATTGCAGCCATTGGATGACAGTCGGTTGCAATGTGATACCGATCGACATACATCAGCATGGTGTGATGTGACCATAACCATGGTGGAATGTGTTGGAGTTGACATTGTGAGTTGACAATCGATACACCATGCACACGACTGGAACATATATATTCGAGTGTGGTTTGGTTGGTGTCAGGTTGATCATGCAATCACATCGGTGCAACGAGTGAACAAACTGATGGTGATCTGAACCCATTTCAACAACAAGGAGTTGACAGTCATGTATTTGCATGCATTCAATATGTGTAGCACACCGAATGATCAGTCATGACAGCACATAGTAGTTGATTGGTGCAATATGATCAAACCATTAGTACAATACACTATTGTTTGACAATACACGATGTTTATTGAATGAATGACATTGGATGCATGACAAATGACAATTAAACCACCATGCAATACACGCTGCATTACAACATATACTGGATGAGACTGTGATGGTTCACTCAACTCCAACATCGTGACGGGCCTATGGTTGTAAAGCTTGCTGCTGAGCATCCTGCTCAAACCGTAAAAATACACTTGAAAAGTAACTGTAGAAAAAGTCAAAACAACTCTTGTACGAGTGATACGATTCCAGGTTTATATTATCGTCAGAATCTGTCACCTCAAACTTATGGTGATGCTCAAAGTAATGTTTAAGCTCCAATTCTTGCTCAGAATCTTTTTTAAGCCTAATCCGATATCCATCAATAATTTTTTGGAGAATCTCTTGGAGTTCATCAAGAAACTCACGCTGGGTTCTAATATTAGCTTCAAGGTCGAGGTCTACTGATCCTTGACCCGAGGCTCTATTTAAAAAGTCAAAATCTTGCTCCAGATTATACAGCAAGTTTTTTTGAGCCTTGATCCGAGCATCTACATTGTGAATATCTTTCTCTATTTTGTCGATTTTAACTGAAAGTGTTGCGTGTTCTTCGATCATGAATACTCCCTCCAAGCCAATTGAATAGCAATACTTGCCAAACTCATTATATGATTTTAATTTTTTCGGATAATCAAACCTACTAAAAGTGTTCAAGGTGCTAGCTTTAGCACTTGCAGTTTCAGTTGCACTGGGAGGAACTGTCGCAGTGCTGACTTTAGCACTCATGGTCGAACTGGGATCAACTGGATTGGCAACTGTGACTGAGCAGACAGCAAGGATTGATGACAGTACGGCAATTGAGAATTTCATTTTGGTGGTTGGTTGCGCAAGTTGTAATGTCATTCAACGAGCCAGTTTTTGAACTATATTTATATCCATTATTGAATAAATGATATTAAAAGCATATTTCTTGGAGACCGTCCTAAGGGATTTGTGTTACTATCAGGGTTGGTGTTGATTTGTTATCAATGTTAAAATGACTTTGAAATACTCTTTCTTATATAATTGCTTATTGAAATTGGAAGCGTAGCATCAGGGTGTGATTTGTGTAGAAATGCTGTGTAATGGCACCATAATGCGACAAGAATACCAATGACTTGTATATGATAATTCAGTCATCTATACGACCATTTGTCACCAATACAATAGTATGTGATCATATTGCACCAATCAGCCAGTATACGATCACTGGATACATCACACGTTGGTGTTTACCACTGTATATGTGTGATGTATACCGGAATATAGTGCATGATATCAACGAGTTTATACATACTACTTACATCACGTACATCAAACCAACTCAGTGATATACGAGTGTTGCGGTTTGACCAAATCACAATCACCCATATTGTCGACTGTCTAACTCGTTGACATTCAAACCGTGCCATCACTAGTCACAATATAATGGTTGACTGACTTGTTTGATTGACCTGACATTGACACTTTGCAAACCTCGACTTGATTCATCAACTTGGATATTCATATAATATTGGGTTTGTATCATCACGTTGGACTCGTTATCAAATACCTTGATGTGTCCATGCAGCACAAACTCGATATACACACATTGGTTACTGTTTGACATGACTGGGTCGATCATCAATATCAGACAATGCAACTGTATTAGTTGTATGATACAATCGATCATGGTTGGTTCATCACCATCAAATATCAAATGTTGATCACGTATACATTGATTTGTAATTGCATGGTCTGTTGGCAATGCACACTATGATATGATTGACAAGTTGTTGATTTGCAGTAATCAGATGTGCATCACCCGTAACATTGGATGCAATTGACAAGTTGTAACCGCCAGTCAACAATCATGGATATGTTGGTGATTGTATTGACTACATGATTGGTATTGGATTAGCTGTCATGATCGATTGGTGGACAATACAATCCACATTGATTATGACGTGTTGCAACTAGTTGATATATGCAGAGTCGACTGATGATCGAGTATATGTTGATGAGTAACTCTGTCACTGTTGGTTTGGATTGGTCATTGCTACCGTTTGTATATGCAGTGTATTCATATGTGATGTATTGGATATCAGTGTTGAACTTGTTGAACCTGTTGGACAATATATTGTCATGTCGCATCAAATCGCACCATATTTAGAATGCAATCATTGATTCGTTGGTTTAATGATCGACTCGACTCACATTCGACTGTAATGGCCACGAATCTGCATTGTTGATTGACACGCATATATCGACATGTATCAAACTCGGACATGGTGTATATCAGTTGAATATACCAACCACTGATGCAATTGATGATGATCGACTAGTCAATCAATTGGGTATCAACACCAATGTCAATCCATTACCACATGAACACTCGCAGTTGTGACCTGTATTCAGTCAGCAATATTGGTTCATGTAGTGTATTGTATAGTCAACCATGCACATGCACATGCATGTCATTGTCAATTGATGGTCGTTTGTAAACAACTTGTGGACAACTTGCAAATATTACAATCATGGTGATTGCTTGAATGTCGATACCAAGCCATGCATTTGATGGTCATTTACTGTTCAGTTTACTGTTCAACAATGCAAATGGTCGTTGTCTACCAATCAGTCGAGTCGTAGACATGAACTGCACATTGTGCGTATCGCTTTGTTCATGACCAAACTGTAACAATGTGCACTTTGCATTGAGTTTGAACTGCAATCTGCGACTTGTACGCATTATGATGCATTGTTTCAATATTCATGTTGCATCCATCAACATCAACGTGCAGTGTCGATCTGATGTTTGGTGTTGATGTTGTGTTGATATTTCAACAACACTGAATATCGCAAATCAGGTCAGCATTGACTCGTGTGATAATAATCCACAGACAGTCGGTTGTACCAAACTGTTGTACAAACATATTGACATTTGATCAATCAAAAGTAGTATAGATAGAACACCCGATGATACCAGTTTTTTAACCGACACTTACTGCTAAATCATGTACAAAGTTGTCAAAACATAAACTATTCGCAGAAAGGAATTCAAGTCAAAAGTATTAGGGTAGAATAGTCAATAACTTTGCTTGTAATTCATAATAAATACGAGCTATTTGTGCCAGACTCATACTTGATGCCTCAAACTGGATACAATGGGTAGTTTTTTAACCAGTACTAAGCGTTAATGTACACACCAGACTGGGTTTAGCTGGATCTTGTTGTAAGAATGATAGAGTATAAAATCAAACCACTGACAAGTCCGTGTTTATCGAGTACGAGTCTTTATATTTCCAATCAACTCTTCCAAATGTGATATTGTGTCTTGCAATGCCAAAATGGATTCAAATTTGCTTGATTACACTATGCATTTGGACATCATTGCTGATCTGTTGAATTTCACGCTTTTTTTGATCATCTTTTTGATACTCTAGCATATTCCATTCATGATTGTGTCTAGCCTCCAACTATTGATTCTGGCTCATCCCTGGTTGTTTTTGTCAATACCATTGATTGGGAATAAAACCAGAATCAATCCGCTGTTTATCACGTATGGCTATTTGATTCAATTCAGTTGCAAACAATTCTTTGTAAGAGTATACTTTCTGGTACTCCTTGTATAATACCAGCATCTCTTGAAACAGCTGCTTTTGTGCTTGTAACAATCCCTGTAGTGTTTTGTCAGCTGGGAGTTTGATTCAAGTTTGAAAATCAAGACTATCGATCGGACAAATCCAATGTCAGCAAAACTGCTGTACAGTTTGGCAGTCAATTGATTGACCATAATTGTAAGCAACAAAACAACTTTTATTTGCAAAAGAAAAAGGAAAACGCAGTTTGTTCTTGAATCAAAATATTAGTTTCAAAACTGTATGGTGGAAAACAGTCTTGGGATATGCAATTATTTACAAGAAACTATAGGTTTCAAAACCAAAGCGATTAAATTACACGACTGGGAAGTTGCTGACAATGAAAGTGGTCATTTCCACAAAGTGAGGTTTATTGTCCAATGGAACCCATACGATATTATTCACCTTTAAGAAATCAAACGCCGTGTATTGTGTAGAACGAGGTCAAGAAACAGAGTTAGGATTAGCGTTATGCGGCCAATAAATATCATTAATTCTAGTCTACATACCTTATTGATGAGATGGTTCAAACGTCAAAACAAATCGAGTCAACTTCTCAACACTCGCAATAGTATCGTTTTGTGACAACACTTGACCATCTGTTCCGTGGTAGCTTTGGCGTGTAAAACAGGCAAAACGATCAGGAGGTACAACAAAATACAGTTCTGGTTTTGACGGATTACCAAGTATTTCCAAAACATCACAAAGTTCAGTTTGTTTGCAAGGATGATCTTTGGTACCGGTCATTTGGAAAAGTAGATTTGGCTTGATGAACGAATCAACAGATTCAAAAATATTGCTAATGGGACGAAAATAGCAATTCGTTGCGTTTTGAACTTGAGAATTGTTGGAGAATAACAAAGTACTAAGATCCATTGGCAGTTGAAGTGTAGACTCCAGCTTGGTACGTAAATCACGAATCTTGAATGAACCACCTTTAGCGATGACTGTATGAGCGTGCTTTTCAAATAATGCCCTATTAAGTTGACCAGTTTCACCAATTTCTCGAGTGACAGAAACGAATCTGATAAGATGATCTCGGTCTCTGGCATAGACACGGTTGTAAATTTCATCAACCACATAGTCAAAAGCAAACTGATAAGGACCACTGTGGAAGCCATCACTGACTGATATATGAATCAAACAACTTGAAGCGTCTAGGTTTTCACCATATTTACCAAAAGACTTGACAACTGAATCGATATTGGAAATATTTAAAGCTTTGTCGAAAAAATCCTGTTGTTCTTTTACCAATGCATATTTAAGAACATAACGAACAATTCCTCCCCACTTCAAATACAGACTTTGTACCAATTCTTGTGGGACTGTAGGAAAAAGCATTGAGCGACAAGAATGCAATTCTTCTTTTGACCACACTGGCATATACCGAATGTCGCAGGACCCCTTGGAAAACCGATGCCAAATTTCCCAACGAGGTGAAGTAACAAGAATGGTCTTGGCATCAACATCAACAGGTGCCGAGCCATCAACAATGTAGAATGTTGACGAGGAATCCAAGATTTTCCAAAAAGCATGCTTTCCTCCTTCGAATACACCATTGGGAGTAAGCAGATATCTTTTTTGATCAACTCCACTCTCATACACGACTGTAGCACCAGAGCGAGCAAGATGCAACAGCAAAAAGTAACCAAAATATGTCTTGCCAATTCCAGGATTTCCAAGGATGATCAAACGACATATATCAGCAGATTGCACAATAGATAGTGATTTTTCAAAAAGTTTAGGATAACAAGGACGGATGTAAATGGATGATCCAATTGAATGGTTTCCAAGGATGAATACGTCTGCTGGAAGTTGGACAACAGTGTTTCCTTCAAGAGGGTTAGGGTAGTTTGTGAAAGCAGTCCAAAAATCCAGTAGTGCGGGTGAGGCTGCAGCAGATGCTGAACCTAGGTCAGTTTGAGTAGGTTGTCTTGGAGGTAGAGGTAAACAACCAATAACAACACAATAACCATCTTGAGTAAAGTATTATTGAGGAAGAGAGTCGAGTAAAGCCCAGGTGTTGATTAGTTGGTCCTTGTTACTGTCGGTGTAGAGTTGCAGTTGAGGAGCATCAATGTCAGCCATAGCAGGACCATACTCAGACTTGATAGCATCCTGAACTCCACTCAGGTCTTCAAAGTCAGTCACATCGATTTCAGCAGTAAGTGTGTCGTATTCAACATTGAGGAATCGTTTTGGCATTTTATGAAAAGAAAAAAGAGTAAAAAAGCAATTTATTTGTCAAATTGTAAAACAAAAATCGACTTTTTAATCGAGTCAAAATAACAAAATTTTGGGATATTTCAAGACAATTCACACGATTTAAATATTTGGAAATTAGTCAAATTCACACCAGAATTAATGTCTCATTAATGTGAGACATTACTAGTGTGAGAGTGTTGACTTGCATTGTGTGAGACATTAGTAGTGTGTGAATGTGAGACATTTCTGAATAGTTTAACAATCAAAAACCATCAACAATGACGTTTGAACTGGGATTCACATGACTTTCTTGGTTTCTTCCATTTTATGAACACACTCACTTTCTTGTTAATAAACAACACAATCAAATATTGATTCATTCCTTCACATCCTTGATCAACTGCAACACACTTGCCAATAATGACAACCATCAATATGCCATCATATGTTCACAATCCTCAAATTCAAAAGTCAATTTGAAAACCCATTTTTAAGCATCTACAAGTCTGCAATATCAGATTTGTGGTTGGTACATAATAGGTTGCCAATAAAAGTCGACAAAGTGAGCAACTGCAATGTGCCTTGCTGTATGATAGTAACATACCAGAAATTATGAATACTTTCAAAGTCAAAAGTCTGTAAACGATGTCACTGCTGGCTTGTAGCCTCTGTTTACAAACCTACAATCAACATATTCACTGGATTCGTATAATGGTAAATGCTGAACCACAAACCGCTGATGATATTATTATGGACAATGCTCATATTATTGGAAATCAAACGATTGGTGCAGTTTCAGATGCTGTTTCATCACACAGAAAGTCTTGCTACAGAGTCTGAATCCAATAGCAGTGAATCTGCAGTTTGACACAACACAGTCAATAATTATCGTTTGAAACTCGAATCAAGTGATGATGTTGCTGTTTCAGATACACTCAATGTCATCAATGCAGTAACATTGAAACCAACTCAAATCATTGATCATGAACCAATTTACCGTGTCTTGATAAAAACACTGATAAACCATCATTCATACATGAGTTTGTCAAAAGTATGAACTGATTGCTGAACAGATGTTTAAAGTGGAACTCAAAACAGTGCAACTCAATGTGCAGCTTTCCAACGACTTTCCCGCTACAAAAAATACAGTCTTGGAACTCAAAGTGTACATCAACAATACTTGTGTGTATTGACCATCAATGATGTTGTTGGTGTAGCATACACAATGTGCATTGCAGAAACGCTTGTTTGTTTGCTGGAGCTATTTCAAGCAAGCAAAAATACTAAAAGGTTCAGTTTGATGAATGTCTGGTGTATATTTACAATGAATTCAAACTCGAGAGATTGTCGTATTTTGCATACAAGACATACTACAATCTATTACAACAATATCGTGTATTTCAATATACACCCATTCGATTTACAACAGTGGCATAAACATCATCACATTTGAACAATGGTTCAGTCGTACAAAGTCCAATAACAGCCATAAATTGTATCAGACATGAACATACTGGTGCAAAATTCACATCAAATAACACACCGCAACAAACATGTTTCTGGTAGATGGTGGAATTGATGTCATTGATTTTCAAGTACACGATATTGATGTTGAATGATTCAATAAACTATACTCGTCGACTTTGTGTACTTTTTTTCAGTTGCATCGTTTCTGATTCCGAGTTTGAAGCATAATAGTTGCGACAGCGCTGTTGTCCAATTTGCTTGTTTTGTGAATAGTAATCATGATACCACTTGTTTGACGCTTCCTGTTGTTGAACTGGATATGGATGTCAAATTTGGATGCCAAATTTTGATGCATTGCAAGTAATTGGTGTAGTTTTTGATCGAGTCAATGAATGGCATTTATAGTTGCTCTAGAAAACAAGTTGTTTGAAATGTCCTGTCATATGTTTTGTTGTTTTCATATTCACTAATTGTTGATAATGCATCCAATTGATTTCTGTTTTGACGCTGCTTATTTGTCATTGTTGGATCTGGGTTTCTGGATTCAGTAACAAACGTTTCAGCAATTTGGATGTGTTCAAATTCATAATACTTGCAAGTCTGAATTATTTGATCATCATCTGAAATTGGATACGAGTAATCATTTCCACTAACCACAGTATACATAGCATTACTGTATATTGACTTGTATTTTACTCAAAGTTTTGTCCATTCAGTATTCCAACACAATTTCCAACATTGATTGAATGGTTTGCAGTGTTTGTTTTAATTGAACCACTTGATGGATCACTTTCATATCTTGATTCAGCAATATCACCAACTGCACAATGATGGATGTGATTGTAGTCAAACACAATATCTTGCAAGACATTAACGTATTGGTTAGTTTTAGTATATTCTTGATAAAATGCAACAATGTTTTGTAATGACGTGTTAAATCCTTCAATCAAACATTGTCTGTTGTGATTTCCAACATTGACAGTGACATGACAAACACCTTTTGCTTGTGACAGACTTTGAACAAGTGTACTGCTCCGTTTGTTGTACAATACACGACATGGTCAGTTGGTGGTATCATGCAACCACACAACTGACAAGTGATTGCAAGTCTGACTGATAGTTACATGTACAATCAACACTGGTTGTTATCATGTCATTGATGTATATGTAATAAACCGTGTCAATGTATCAATCAACAATCCAGTAACTGTTGATGTAATACCAAACGCAGTATACAATCAATGATATGATTGTTGACCCATTCACGATACTCGACAAATACCAATACATCAGAAAGTTTAAATTTATTCAAAATCAAATTCATCGACACATCATCAATCCAAATCCAAACCCGGTTCTTCAAATTTCAAACCATGCCTTTTCATAAAATCCTTCAATCTATGTCTGACATTGCGTACTCTACCCCTTGCTGCTTCATACTCTTGTTTCAATATCTTTTCAGTGTCTGGATTGTACGTTGATCCAGATATATCTTCTCCTCTTTCTAGCGCTGACCATTGTTCGAATCCAATGGCTTTATAATCACAATATTCTTTGAGTTTTTTCTCTCGTATTTCTTTAGACTCTACAAGCTTTTGCTTTATACGATTAAAGGTACTTTGATATTTTTCGCATAATCCAGCTATTTGATTTGAAACAGTATTGGCAGACTCGCCTTGTTCCATTGACTGTTGTTGGTCTTGACTGGAAGTACTTGGGCCAGTTGCATCTATTGGGTGTTGCTGAGTTTGGTCGGGAATACTTGAACTGGGTTGATCAGCTGGTTGTTGTTGGTCTTGGTCGGATGTGTTTGGACCGACTTGATCAATTGGGTCAGAAACTTGACTGGAAGTATTTAAACCAGCTATATCAAACAGTTCTTGCCAGTCTTCAAAAGTATCTGAATTGACTTCATCTATTAGGCGTTGCCAGTATTTGTCGGGAAATACGAGACCGGGTTCATCAGTTGATTGTTTCCGACTTTGTTTTGAAGCACTCGGACCGGGTTGATTCATCGATTGTTGTTGGTCTTGCTTGGAAATGCTTGAACCGTGTTCATCAATTGGCCGTTTTCGACTTCGTCTGGAAGTGCTTGGACTGGGTTGATCAATTGGTTGTTGCCAGTCTTGATCAGAAGTGCTTGGATCAATCGGGTCAAATATACTTTGCCAGTCTTCGTCGAAAATGCTTAAATTAGTTGCATCAATTATGTCTTGCTGATATTCATTTGAAGTGCCTGGATTAGGTTCATTGGTTGGGCCAGACACTTGACTGGAAGTACTTGATGTTTGGGTTGAACCATTGTTATCAATCGGTATCAATATTGCATTAGTGGCTGCTGCCGCAGTCAGTACAAATAGAATATCAACCAATTTCATCAGACTGGTCAATGGGTTTAAACGACTAGTAGAAAGTAGTATTGAAACTGGTGTTGATTAAAATATTGAACGTAATCGATTGTATTTGTATGTTTTTGTATAGCAAACCAACCCTTTTAGGTTAACCAATTATACAGGGTTACTTGATTGCTTGTAGTGAGCAACTATCAAACCATAATATGCTGCTCCCTATCCATAATATCATATTGATCAATTTGATGATCGTGTCGATTAAATTATGCTTTTACGACCCTTTGATCAGGTATATTGAAAAGCACACCCTTCAGGAGTGTTGTGCAGCCACAAACGCTTTGTTTTACAACCGTATTCATGTCAAATGGATTCCTTCGGTATTCATCATGCAATGACTGTATTCTGCATTGCAATATACAATGGTTACTACACATTGGCTGCATTGATTGTTCGATATACAACAACCATCATATGACACACAATCAGACTATAGTGTTGAATTTACACTTTGTACACTCTTAGTAATCATACATTGTATGGTCACCAAGTTTGAACCCACATTCATGTATTGTGTTTGACTGTCAATGTTGCAATACAACTCTGCACACACATTTGTTGTGTTCTGAATCTCGGATACGATCGCAATCTAGTTCAACAACAATCATGGCATATATCAGTAATGCAACTGTTTATCACACACCAAGACTGTTATTTGGTGGTTCATTTACATCAATATGGCTGCAAGTTGTTGTTACATCACGTATTCTGGACATGGTTTTAGTATTGCACATCCAGTTACATCACATTGTTGCTGACCAATCATTGTAACGCTGTATGTCCCCATAACCATAGACATGGACATGAGCATGTGGTTTCACGTATAATATTACAACCACGCATGTCGTTGGTTGAATCATCACTACTAGTGTATACTACACTACAATACATGTATGTTGGTATGTGTTGTACCAATTTGATTGCATTGCTACAATGTGGCATGCTCCAACCTGTTTGAATGACTGTTGTGCAACATATTGATATTGACCACATGTGATACTGGTCACCAACAAAGTGATCAGCAATATACAATTGATTATGCAATCACTGACTGCCAATACCTCAATTATGAATACTATCCACCATTTCATGACACCATCTGATACATTCAGTGCACAGTAGCTGATTGGTGCAATATGATCAATTCAAGCATACTATTACATTGGAAATGGTGGTGACAATGCAAGGTGTTTATTGAACAAACAAGACTGAATGCTTACATGACGAATGCAAATTGATAGTATAAATCATATATACACACTGCAGTACAACATATTCTAAACAAGGTTGTTGATAGCGTGATTCCAGTTTTACAATGAAATTGAATTACCAAACAGTCGAGTGTTCAAACATTGATTTACTATACACTTTTAGTTATGGTGGTTTGCGTAGAAATATTCAAGTATGCCTTCTATATCCAATGAACCTCAGCATCTGTCGTTTGAATCTATTAAACTTTGAACGTAATGAAGGAAGTTGAATATCATATTCTTGCAGTACACTAGATTCACTTGAATATCTAGCAATTTTAGTCGTTGGTACAAAGTGTACTTTAGCTTCCCTTGAACCAGCATCGTGACTTGACTTTTGCTGATGTTTTTTAGAATGATCGTGTTTTGAGCCGTGGAGTTTAAAAGTGGATCCGGGTTTCAAGATGGATTTTAATTCTGGAGTAGGTTCAGATACAACTCTGATTGATTCTTCTTTGAGAGGTTCAAGAGCCAACTTGCGACACACCCATAATCTTCCTAGTCTCAGTTTCCTGAATTTCTTTTTATCAGATGAGCTCATTCTACGCCCATACCCTCTTCGTTTAACTTCTAGTATTCTTTCCTTTGTCTTGGCGTTCATTTTGTGCGGATATCCGTCTCCAACATCAGTTGGAATTTCCATACCCATATTCTTCATTATTTTTTCGACTCTATCCAGCCTTTGCTAATGTGTGAGAATGGGCCGTTTGTTCTCTGGGATATATTTTTTAGGGAGATGGCAGACGTCGTCGTATAGTGTGTTGTCAAATATATCATCATCTGACTGTTTGGACTGAGAGGATGACGATGATTCATTGGACTGTTCAACAGAACTGTCTGAATCATCAGGATCTATAGTCGACTGAGCTACATCATGATTGGTTTCAGTTGATTGTTGTTCTGTTTCAGTTGAAGCGCAAATACCAGTGTGTTGCTGCATGTGTGTTGAACATTCTTTTACAGGTTCTGATTCACTGGCAGATGGACGATCAATGACTACTGCACTGACTGTTATCGACAATAGCGACAACACAATAGTCGATATGAATTTCATCCTGTTGACGAGAATGGATGTGATAAAGCTTGTCAATTAGTAGGACAATTCTTGGTAATGAATGAGCCAGTTGTGGATATGAACCATGCTTTTATGGTGGTTAAATATATAATCAAGACATAAGGGTTATATGAGCTTATGCAGCAACAACTCGACCGCCATTTAGGTATATGTAGCACATATACTCATGTGTAGGCTGTTTTATGCACAACTCTTCAACCATTGAATGAAACAGGACTCATAGTCAAGGACTGGTGACCCTGACCCATATACTAAAGAATATGTCAAGATCGATTGGCATAGTCAGTCAGTTTCAAGTTACAGTCAGTATAGGGTAACGGTTTATCCACACAACAGCTGGTCAAACATTAGTGGCAAAATCCTTTAAACAGCTCTGCCTCAACACTTGATCTAGTGATATGATATTGTGTTGCAGTCCTGTTCAATGCAGTATGGATTGATGATCATATCAGCAATATCAATACTTTATGCCAACTGTAATACTTTCAATACGCAAACTCAAAGTATTGCCAATGATTAGAAAAGCTTCAACATAACTCTTGAACTGTCAATTGTCATGCTATCAATAGTATGAACATCCGACTCAATACTGTACATGACTGGTTGTCAAGAGTCTTGCAGCGTTTACTTGACAAACTGGATTCCTATTTCGATTATACAAACATGACATCAAACACATGTCTACTTTGGAACAAGACGTTGAGTTGAATGTCCAGCAATATACAAAAATATACGAAAACAGCACGAATTGAATGTCAAAACTCGATTACTAACAATTTCAAATCTACAGAAACGAATACGACAACTTGCAGTCTAGTCATGTAAACGGAACACTAACAGTGTTGGTGTGTAATAAACAGTCAGTGTCATGGACTGATTGACAATACAGTGGTGTTGTTGGTGGTGATTGACATGCAAACAACAGTTGCATTACTGACATGTGCCATGATTGTTGTTGAACTAGATTGCGATCGTATCCGTGATTCAGAATACAACAAATGTGTGTACAGAGTTGTATTGACAATATTGACAGTCAAACACAATACATGAATGTGGGTTCAAACTTGGTGACCATACAATGTATGACTACCAAATGTGTCGAGTATCCATGCAGAATACTAAATGGTAATATGTGATGATCCAAGGGACTCGTATCACCAATGTTTGTGTGCCATAATTCCACTATTTGACTTGGTAAACAATAGGAATTACACCTATTGATCAATTTACTTTTCTGATTGCTCATCATACATTCTACTTGTTTGTGTCATCAAGATACAAACAATCAATTACTACAAGACTGACTATAACTCATATTTATTAATAAATGACTCTTCCAACCATTTCAACATATTATTGTTTTATTACATCTTTTCATTATCATTGAAAAAACCAAGTCTGCTGATCCTGAATTACTGTGCAACTCCCATTACACTTTTGATTTGTTATTTTTTGTCAACTACTAACAGTTACAGATCATACACACAACTCCATTTAAATTAATATAAATCAGATTACACAAAACTCCAACAGAGTTGTTGGTTGTTGATGGGCAAGTTGGATATAAAGTTGTTTTCAATCAATCCGTTGGCAATCATGATAGCATACTTTGATTTGTATGTACGCAATATTGCTGTCATTTTGTGTATGGTGTTTCCTATTCCTACAAACGCATTCCATTTCCAGCTGTTTTCTTTGTAGACATTTGATGTTGTGTAGCATGTTAAAGAATTTAGGTGTATCGAAAAAGTAGAGTATACAAGATAGACAAAAATTACCGAGTCTTTCAACAAGTAATAATATAATATAATATGCCGCTATATAAAACATTGGTAACGCTGGGTTTTTTGAAAAGTAAAAGTAGTGGTATTGAAACATAAGGGTGATAATGGAGATAATGAGGAAATGATAAATTAGGGTGTGTCCAATGCAAGTACTAATGCTTGCTTGTTAAGGGTTGAAGCTTAGATATCTTGCTTGGATATTACAACAGATACACACTAACCATTCAAACTATACGTAAACGGTCAATGTCTGATTGCTTCAACATAACAATGAGGATGTAAAATGTAGTACAGAAATAGACGACTAAATTACATTTATTCCAACGGATTTAGCACTCTTGTTCAAGTAAACCGGTATCATCCGATATTCATTATACACTACTTGTACGTTGAATCATGCCAATCACTTGCTATTTTAACAAGCATGGAATATCACAACAATATTGATGACCAATTAATAGCCGAGTGTCAACTCATTCCAGTTTTGGTTTATACTCATTTCTTAACCCTAACCCTTGACCATAGCCATTTTAGGGTGGGACTGCATAGCCAACCATATGATATTCGAATGTATGGTCAGATAGCAGCTCAGCCAAGGTTACAGGTTAACATATAAAGGGAGACTCTTCAAAGTTTGGCATTGACAACAAATCACCATTCAACCCTGACAGTAATACTAGTCCTTGAAACGACCATTTAAGGGATATGCTTTTAATATCATTTATTCAATAATGGATATAAATACAGTTCAAAACTTGACCTGTTGAATGACATTACAACTTGCTCAACCAACCACCAAAATGAAATTCTCAATTGCCGTACTGTCATCGATCTTGCTTGCATGCTCGGTCACAGTTGCCAATCCAGTTGATCCCAGTTCGACCATGAGTGCTGAAGTCAGCATTTTTACCGGCACTCCCACTGTATTTAAAGGTGTCGAATATAATTTTTGGATAGATGCTAATCCAGACGGTATAGGCTTGGGTGCTCTTGATCCACTTCCAGATAACGTCAAGCATTTACTCGACAAATACGTAGAGTTACAGTATGCTCGTAATCAGCAAGAAAAAATATATTGGCCGTTAAAATCTCGACATGACAGTCAATATGACGTGGTACTGGGCGTGGAAAAAGATCTTAAAATTCTGAAATATCTATCTCAAGACGGTGACAGCCCAAAATATGGTGACATTGAGAAGACTAAGCTTGATCTTGAACGCCAAGATTTCAAATTTGCCAAACTTGTAAAAAGTTTTGACGAGTGCCAGTCCAAGATTGGTCGTATTGTAGAAAAAAAGTCGGAAACCGATGAACGGATTGTGCGTCTCGTTTTAGGAACCCCTCTGGATCTTGCATTATTTAATTACCAAGCTTTGCTTATCAGAGGAATGCCTTCCGTTAATGATTACATTGAAAAGCAATCATTAAAATACAAGAATCTTGATGGAAAATCTGGTGGTCGACGAAAACATCGAAAATCTGGCGGTCGACGAAAGCATCGAAAATCTGGTGGTCGACGAAAACGCAAAGATTTGGAATCATCGGACGAAGAATCATCAGATGAAGAACCGGATGAAGAATCCGAATATAAATTCAATAAGAAGGGTACTTTCAGTATGCGAAGAGCTTCCTCCAGGTTTGTCACTAGATTTGGATCATTCTTTCAGAAATCCAGACGTGACGATCCATCCAATTGATTTGAATGTTAATCTGGACTTGTTTCAGCCGATTCAATTGTCATTTTATTTAATTTACAATAAAATTGGATTTACATGCATTATATTTGATCATTTCACGGTCTTGATTGGTATCATATCATATTGTACATTGACACTTGTATTTCCAATACAATACAGTTGATTATATATTGCATAGTTGTACACATTGATGATGCTGACATGCATGTGTGTATCGTGTCGATATGATATTGCTCGTCATGTCGTATTGACACATGCAATACCAATACCAACAACAGTCATGTGTGTTGATATCAGATCCGACTGGTTTGACTGGTTTGACTCGTTGATTGTGGTGTCAAAATGGTTGCATCAATAGTCTGACTGATCACACAAATCAGTCGCAGTATCAACTTTGTCGTGTGTCGAGTATCACATGTTGAATATACAATGCCAACAATATGATCATTATACACATGTTGATGTATGCAGTGATCGTATACTAGTCGATTGGTGCAATATGATCACACACCAATGGAATGTGATAGTCATGATATTTGCAGCAGTATACCATATTAAACTGATCCAATACATGCACGGTTTGAACATATCACACACATTACAATGCATGACATGATACATACATTGACTCCATCAGCATTGACTTTCATTGTGTAGCATTTTGTGATATCACCACCCAATTCAACGGGTGATCGTTTTGATAGCCTATTGCTTGATTGACTGTCAATTCCAATTGGTGATTCTAATGCAAGTCGAACTGCAGCAACCACTTGTAACGCAAGTATAACGCATTCTAGAGTAATCAACATTGTATCGAGTAGTGTAATGAAAATGGTTTGAATCCGGTACATGATTGCCGTTTTATAATGACGGCAGTTTCAAGGGTGACAATCAACACTTTTCAAATGAATGATCACAAAAAGCCAAATACACCATGTAGGGTCAACAAAGCCGAAAACACCCTGTAGGGTGGATCAGTACACAAGCATCGCTGTTGGTGTATAATCAACCTCGGTAGTATACTGTGTTCATCTCCAATTGTGGTGATGTATCCAGTGATCAGATAGTATCAGATTGTCACCCTGATTATGGATAGTTATCATCACATACAATCCATCACTACAGCATATACTGTCACTGTATACCAAATACTTGATTGATTGTTCAATTGGTCGTGTTTTGGATCACTCGGACACAACAGCATCAAACAGCCTGTTTCAGTATTTCAAACCATGATTCTTCCGTTGGTATGACTACACAGTCATTTTAGGTTAATGTAGACTGTATACATCAAACACTGCTGATTGTGTCACAACATGATCAACATCAAACTCGGCAATCTGTCACTGCTACACCAAATGAGTGACGTTGTACTATAATTGAATTGGAGATTGACAGGTCGTTCAACAAACTGGCCGTGTCAACAGGTCAGATTGTCATCGTATACATGAACCACAATGTATGATCATGTCATTCAAATCAACACACAATCTACTGATATATGCAATACAACACCACCAATACAATCCAATACAAACCCAATCACAAACGTGGTGTTGAATCCAATGCATGCGAGTACTTTTTAAACACATGATACACACTGATGGTGATGGTTGCTGACAGTCACATTACAGTGTACATGTCCAATAGTGTCCACTGTCATGTCGATTGTTGCTATCCGTGACATCCAACTGTACTTGTATTCACCAAATGTGCACAACATCTAGGGTTGGTTGCTAGATGCTCTCATGTTTGGCATACAACTAGTCACCATCAGACCAAGCGTATACGCTAGTACAGCGCCATGAATCTATTGGTAAGTGGTTTCAATTTTATTCTGGCACGTTGAGGGTTGGATGTGTATTAGACACAATGTTGTGGATATAACTGAGCCACAACAGGGTGATATCATGCATAATGGTACGGCCTGTATCTGTTTGGTAGATATGCAACCATATATATAACAGCCCAACTCGTCCTTTATCACGGGTTGGTTTTAGAAACGTCTGTTATTTTGGTTGATACATGTTTGTTGCATAGATTGGTAGTATTGTATGTATTTAGTCTGATTACATTGTAAACAGTCTGGTTGATTACCCATTCACTGCTAATAACCCGTTTGTACAACAGAATCGATCATTTGTTCAGTATTGAGTATTTCCAAATACAAATTTGAATGAAAAGTCTTGCCACAATACTGATCAACTGTATTACTGTTTACACTGTGGTATTATTGATGTATTGTAATACTTGGTGATCAGATACACAATGATAATGGTAGTACAACTCATGGCAGTTGTACAAACCAAACGTGATTAAAGCCAATAATAATGTCAGACAAGATTGGATAATGAATTAGCGTGTAAATCATCAACATTGACCAAGATTGATTGAAATGGTGAGATTGGGTTGGATGGTGATGAACACAACAAATGAGTGTACAGAGTTGTATTGACAACATTGACAGTCAAACACAGTACATGAATGTGGGTTCAAACTTGGTGATTGTACAATGTATGATTACTAAAAGTGTACAAAGTGTAGATTCAACATTATAGTCTGATTGTGTGTCATATGATGATTGTTGTATATTGAACAAGTAATGCAGTCAATGTGTAGTAACCATTGTATATTGCAATGCAGAATACAGTCATTGCACGATGAATACGGTTGTAAAACAAAGCGTTTGCGGCCACACAACACTCATGAAGGGTGTGATTTTCAATATACCTGATAAAAGGGTCGTAAAAGCATAATTCAATTGACATTATCATCAAATTGATCAATATGATATTGTGGATAGGGATTAGCATACTATGGTTTGATAGTAAACCGCTACAAGCAATCAAGTGATCCTGTATATTGGTTAACCTAAAAGGGTTAGGGTTGATATACAAAAAATACAAATACAATCGATTGAGTTCAGTCTTATAATCAACATCAGTCTCAACACTCTACTTTTGTATTAATCGTTTAAACCCATCGACCAGTCTGATGAAATTGGTCGATATTTTACTTGTACTGAGTGCAGCAACCGCCAATGCAATACTGATACCGATTGATAACGATCGTCCAACCCAAGCATCAGTCACTTCAAGTCAAGTATCTGGCCCAACCAATGAACCCAATTCAGGCACTTCCGACCAAGACTGGAAAAGTATAGTGGATGCAATTAATTCAAGCATTTTCAGTCAAGACTGGCAAGACCCAATTGATGTAGTCGATTCAAGTACTTCCAGCCAAGATCAGCAACAACCAATGGACCAATTCAATCCATACACTCCAGGCGAATATTGGAAGCTTATAATGAATGAAATCAGTTCAAGGACTCATGAAGACTTGCAAAAAATGATTGATGCAGTCATTTCAAAAGTTTACAACCAAGATCAGCAACAAACAATCGATGTAGCTGATCCGAGTGCTTCCAAACAAAGTCGAAAACGACCAATTGATCAACTGGGTCCAAGCATTTCCGAACAGGATTGGAAAGTCATAATCGATAAACCCGATCCAGGCATTCCGGAAGACTGGCAAGACCTGATTGATGCAATCAATTCAAATATTACCAGCCAAGACCAGCAACAGCCAATTGATGAATCCAGTTCAAGCACTTCCAAACGAGGTCGAAAACGGCCAATAGATCAGCCCAGTCCAAGCACTTCCAGTCAACACCAACAACAGCCAATGAGCGAGGGCAAGTCTATCAATACTGTTCCAAATCGAATAATTCTATTAAACCAAAGATGTCAAAGAATCTTTGATGAGCCAAGACAAAGACTTGTAGCGTCTAAAGTAATACGAAACAAAAAACGCAAAGAATATCGTGAATATACAAAATTTGGATTGAAACAACGGTCAGCGTTATCAAGCAAAGAGACGTCTGAATCAAAGTACAGCCCAAAAACTGAAATACAATTGAAACAAGAGTATAAAAAGTTAAAGAAAAGAGTATACAATTTAAGAGATCAATTGAAAGCATTTATGAAAAGGCGTGGTTTAGAATTTCAAGAACCGAATTAGGATTTGGATTGATGATTTTGAATAAATTTAAACTTTCTGATGTATTGGTATTTGTCGAGTATTGTGAATGGGTCAACAACCATATCATTGTTTGTATATTGTGTTGGTTATTGGATTGTTGATTGATACATTGACATGGTTTGTTACATATACATCAATAACCTGATAGCAACCAGTGTTGATTGTAACTACCAGTCATACTTGCAATCACTTGTCAGTTGCATGATATCACCAACTGACCATGTCGTACATTGTACAACAAACGGAGTAATACACTTGTTGAAATTCGGATGTAGATTGCGTCATCAACCGGTTCGATATTGATCAATTAGTGTTGTTTTATGTCAGTTTACAATATAATATATGCGGTGTGGTATTGATGGTGTCGTATTGACATCCGTATTGTACTTTATTCCTGGAAAGCACTGTGACTGGAGAACTGACAATGAGTTGGATTGGATTATTCGACACTTGTAATCGGTTGATGTAGTTCATGAGGACTTGAGACCAGAAAACATGATTTTAACTGGTCAAGGGAATATCAAATTGATCGACTTTGGCAAGACACAGATCAAGACTTGCGTCACGAATTGATGGTTTATCAACCAAGCAGAATCCAAGACTTGTTCAAGACTTGTTCAATAAAAACACAACCATACTGACCTTTTATTGACTACTCATTGACTACTCACAAAATCAAATGTTTGCAAATCTGATGTTCAAGCCTTTATATTTCTGATGAGTTTCATTCCCCTTGAACAGTTTAAATTCAACGTCATGTTCATTCATGCTCCATACATATGACAGACACGTCAACAATGTTAATGGCAACTTTATGAATATCAAAATGGATCGTTTTGAACAAGCTGGTCAACCTTTTTGTTGCTTCAGTCGCAGGCTTTACATCCAAACTATTGTAATGTTTCAACAACTCGGACAGGTTTTTACAATTGTATTGCACTGTAGCATGATCAATGTTTTTAATATTAGTTTTTGATAAATCATTGTAAACCCATGTATTTGCAGGGATTGGTGAATGTTTAGTAGTTTAATCAAACCATATTTTTGATGGTTTAATGTAGGATACTTTTTCCAAATGCGAGTGTATGTTTTGGATTATTGTATGAGCAAACATGTCTATTGGGCATTCTGCATCAAATGATTTCAAATACTTGTTAGTAGTATATATTGGGAACCGACTGATACCAGTTTTATCAACCAGTGTTTACAGCCAAACTATGTCCAAAGTTGCCAAAAACATCAAATTATCGGAGATGAGGAAAATTGTCAAAATCTTTAAAATAAAGTACCAGCTTGTTTATTAGTTTGAAATTTCAGGATCTTTTTGTGCCAGATTCATACTCTCTGCTTTAACTAGAATACAATGTCTTTATGATAGATGACGGCAGTTACAAATTAATCGCACCATCCCTTTATGAAAACAACTTTGACTTTATCCAACTCTTCGCCGAGTCTCCAACCAAAATCTGTTAACATGCCTGGTGCCGATGGTTCGGCTACCTTGAAAGTTGAGCGTTTCTTTTGGTCAGCAACAAAGATAATTTCCAAGCATGTAATCTCAAACGATTGAGGCGATTGGCATAGCATCAGCAAAAAACTGTGGAAATACTTGATTTTGAATGAATGTGTGTCGCCATCAGTTACTTGAACGAATCTAACCAACCCTTTTCCTTTATCCAAGAAAATAGAAACAAATCCTCCTTGGTTCCATTTGTTTGGCTTAAACCAAACACCATTATTTTCTGGTAGAGCAGGAAAAGCATTGATATCCAGAGTTTTGAAGTTGGATGCTGGCCAAGTTTGAAATTCGTTATCGTTTTCGTCAAACAATTTTACTCCGTCGTAATAAAGACTGGCAAAAAACCACATTTCCAATATCCAACCATTCATAGAAGGATTTCCATCATGCCGAGTAGCGTTGGCCAATTTACGAATCAGGTCTGGTCCTTTCTTGATGGCCAACATAACCCCGGCAAATTGACTGACAATAGATGTTTTTCAAGGGAACACATCATTCTCTACTAAACTTGAACTGAAGAGACGATCCACGACATTATTAGACTGATCGCCTATTGTGCCTTTGACGTATGGAAAAATATCATTGACAAAAGTGACTAATCCATATGTTTGTTGGATCACATCTTTGGTCGCAAAAAGAAACATACATCTGGCAGAAGCACCCGCAAAGTATAGTTTAGAACGGACCAAGTCTTCACGAGACGAATCAATCTGTAAATCAGAATCCAAAACAGCCTTGACATGGTTAAAGAATTCGTCATTTTGAACAGCATGAATATACTCTTCTTCCTTCCAAGAATAGACGTTGAACTGTTTGAGATTCAACAGCATATCTTCCTCCAACTTTGCTTTGTAACGTGAAGACATCAAACAAACGACAACCAATCTTCTTTTTTTTCGGTCTTTTTCGAGCCATGAATAGCAAGCTTGCTGTACATCAATGTGTTTTTGTCCATTTGAAGTGTATCCATCAATAAACACAATGTGTTGTTTTGATTCATCTACTTTATGCAAAATATCAAAAAGTTTGTCGATATTGCTGTCGTAGATTTCCTGGGATTTCTTTGAATCGCCCTCCAAACGAACACATACTGGATAACAATCTATGTACAAATGAATCCAAGTAACAACCCAGTCATTTTTGTCCAGAGTTGAGGCAAATGTCAGAGCAGTAGTCGACTTGCCAGTTCCTGGTGGTCCTAGAATCCAACCAAGAATCCCATTATCAATGACTTTTTCCCGTAAAAAACTGAATTGCTCATGAAAAGTTGGACGGCAATAAAGAATGAGTTTTTCAGTAGATAGACCAGTCTTGGCCAAGTAATTTGTATCAAGTTTGAAAATGGTCAAATTTGGGTCGTATGAAAGTTGAGCAAGTGTTGATACTTTCTCCCATTCACTTGTTCTTCTTTTCTTGTATCCTGCTGTTAAAGTAGAACCTGCGGCAAAAAGGTCAGTTTGAGTAGGCTGTCTTGAAGGTGGTGGTAAACAACCAATAACAACACAAGAACCATCTTGAGTAAAGTATTATTGAGAAAGAGAGTCGAGTAAAGCCCAGGTGTTGATTAGTTGGTCCTTGTTACTGTTGGTGTATAGTTGGAGTTGAGGAGCATCAATGTCAGCCATAGCAGGACCATACTCAGACTTGATAGCATCCTGAACTCCACTCAGGTCTTCAAAGTCAGTCACATCGATTTCAGTAGAAATAGTGCCATATTCAACATTAAGGAATCGTTTTGGCATTTTATGAAAAGAAAAAGAGTAAAAAAGCAATTTATTTGTCAAATTGTAAAACAAAAATCGACTTTTTAATCGAGTCAAAATAACAAAATTTTGGGATATTTCAAGACAATTCATACGATTTAAATATTTGGAAATTAGTCAAATTTACACCAGAATTAATGTCTCATTAATGTGAGACATTACTAGTGTGAGAGTGTTGACTTGCATTGTGTGAGACATTAGTAGTGTGTGAATGTGAGACATTTCTGAATAGTTTAACAATCAAAAACCATCAACAATGACGTTTGAACTGGAATTCACATGACTTTCTTGGTTTCCATTTTATGAACACACTCACTTCCTTGTTAATAAACAACACAATCGAATATTGATTCATTCCATCACATCTTCAATCAACTGCAACACACTTGACAATAATGACAACCATCAATATGCCGTCATATGTTCACGATTCTCACAAGTAATATGAACTCAATTGAAAACGCTGTGACTAGCGCATTTGGTCAGTTGCAAAGCCAAACCAATGACATTGTTGTCATGATGACCAAACACGACAATGTCATTGGATCATTACTGGAACAGATCTTGGTCAAACTGGACTCTGGTTGCTCACCAACACATGCAATTGTTATACCAGTTGTGGTATTCAAAACCATTTCCACGACTGTAAACATCACCGTAACTGCGACTGTGTTTTGTCCACAAAGTCAATCCAAGTTGTTCATATGCGACAACAGCACGTTGCACACACATGCAGACTGTCAATACGGAATGTCAAGCAACAATCGACTTATTCCGTAGTCGTGCAACTGTTGACATAAATGCCATTGCGGTCAATGCTGTATCGACTGGTGTCGAACCTTGAATGAATACTGCAACTCGCATTTGTTTATTGCGTTTTGCATCGAATTCAATGTGCACACTCAATAAACTTTATGGTATTCTGGTCACATTCCGTATCAATCTGCAATGGATTACCAACATGCATACAATCAACAACACGATCAGATTATTAGTGGATCAATCTATTGCTGTCAAACTTGTAGTCATGACCCAACTCGATACAAATCAGGTCAAGTTTGATCCAGAAACTCCAACAAAAACCATCAACCCGACCACTGAACTGGCTGCTCGTTGACAGTTTGCTGGTTATGTGGGTTTATTGTTGATGGACAAGCGTGTAAACTGTCGTACATGCAATTTATACTGCGAGTTGATGGTCAAGTCTGACAATCTGCATTCGCGAACTTGTGTGCAAACAGTGTTTTGTTGGATCTCAAACATCCTGCCACTCGCACAGTTGTTTGCACAGTTGCTTGTCTATCAATCCAACTGGATCTGCAACTCTGTCAAGCAAATCCGTAGTTCAACCTGCTGATGCTGATGTGACTACAATAAACACGAAACTCACCAAAATAACACTTGCTGATCTGACAGGTCAATGAGTGACACTAACCATTAATACCAAATAAACAACGTTTTGAATCGACAATCAACTGTCATGACAATTGGTAACATTCGTGGTCATTTGGCATCCATCTCAAACCATCACATCAAACACATTTCCAAAATCGATTGCTGGACAACTCAACTCGGTGCACGAGTCCGCATTACTGTGTCAGAGTCATGTTCCGCACACACTATCCATCAACTCTGTCACCAATCATCCGTACAACAACTGACACATACACAAAAACTGTCAACGCAGGCATCCAACGACATCCTCACTGTGTGTTTCACCACTTCCTAATTGTTATCAACTATTGTCAGTCAATGTGTCAAACATTGCCAGCAAACACTCACTACTTTGACATATATTCAGCCAAACCGACTATGTGGATTATCCGAGACTTGCATTACAACGGACAGTTTCAAACACACAGTGTGTGGTTTCAATGTATTGCAACACTCGGCAACTGTTCCCGAACATCGAGACACCATTCGGTATTGACAAATGGTTTGGATTTGCAAAATGACTGTTTATGGCACCATAATTGTCGCAAACATTCCAAACTTTACACCTGACTGTGTTTGGACTGTTGGCTGTGTACATTGGACACTCGGCTGCATGCGACTATCAAACGTGAAATGTCTTGTCTGCCATTCAACATGTTCTGTCAGCAGTTATTCCGTTTGACGATCACTCATCAGTGCTACTGTTTGCAAACTGGGACACTGAATATGTGCCATTACAACACATCATACACGCATGAATACTGCGTTTGACTGTCACGCAGTATGCTGGCAATATGCAGATAGTAACATCACTCGAGTGAGCAGGATTGCATGTCATTGACACTCTATCAATCACTTTGTGTGTAACGAGACTGAACAAACACTTGTAGAATCTGCTCGTGTAGACATGAACATTGCGGTTGTTGACGATGTGTCATTTACACTTGCATCCGCACTAATACACATGCACCAACTCATTCAGTCCATTCCACTCATTCAACCAAGATATCACAACTCTGCATATATGCCTATGATCGGATTGCAATGTTCACGATTGGTGGAATATATGCAGCGTTTGATGGATCATACACGGACACACACGAGCTATGCATTCAGTTATTGGATGTTGCCAATGCAACAGTGAATGACTGTCAACTACACGCACATGCACATACTGCTCGGGAATATAAACGTCGACTGTATCGCTCAACCAAACAGATGATTTGACATGGTAACACTGGAATATTGATGTACATTACAGCAAGTATCCGTGACAATCACAATGAACTCTGTCGCAGCCAACTAGGTGCATGCTGGGACAAACACAATGCAACAATCCAGCGACTTGAATGCGCCAATGAGCATATGAACTGGATCAAGTTTGCTGACACACTTGACCGGACAGTATTGATGATCGTTTTGATATGACATTTGCAGCAGCTCGAGTCATGTCTGGTGGTGCAACACACACAACAGCCATCACTCCATTCCATTCCACTATACGATGTGATGCCAATCGTATCATTCAGTACAGCAGTGATAATATTTTTGGCATACCGAGTAATCACTACTTGCGTCTTGCTACGGACGATAGTGGACATTTACTTGACTTGCAGTAATGGCAGTACTGGCATATACGTGATTCACTTCCACCATCCAAACTGTTTCTAATTCGTGACGATGCAACTGATCTCGACTCGGATATATCTTGAAATCGACTAGCTGATGCAATACAGCAGCTGGTTCACACCAGACACCCGGAAAACAACAGGATATTGATCACATTCTGTCGAGTCGCATTATATACATCGGATGATACACCTGATGAACCACCCAATCCATTTGATCGTGTCCTGCTACACACAGTTCATTCAATATGTTGACGGCCACTATGCAACCTGATGGCAGTCTGCATACACTGTACCGATTGTACTGACTGCATATATCGACAAGAATAACGGTGATCACATTGATACAAACGACAAGCACGGTATTACACTGATTGATGTGTCATAAACTGGTATGCAAGGTCTTGCAAACACACATTGATGGATTGTGGTGCTCAACAAACTCGTCACCACTGAGCATGGTCGATTTCAAACCAAACAAGTGTGTTGTGTAAGTTGGTTCACTAGTCGATATTGTTCAATGACAGCAGTGCGTGCAGCTCAATACTATTGTTGTGTTGACTGACATTCAAAATGCACTCGACACTGTCACGGTTGGTGCCTTGATATGATAACTGCAGCATATGTGATTGACACCACACACACTGGTCTTGTTAACAGCGCTACACACATGCTCATCAGCTTGTGCTCAGACTGAATCATTGGTTTCTGATCCATTTCCATTTGAGCATGAAGTCCGGTGGTGATATCCACTGTCAGATTGTTGTTCAACGTGTTCATCAACGACATACACGATGATATCAACCGATTGTCATTGCATGAGTATTGTGTAAATCACCATCAATGTGAGGGTTCATGTATGCCGACAATATCGTGATATTTTCCAATTCTGATCAATCACTCCAGTTGGCATCTGGTGTACTTGCACGATGAATGGAACAATGTCAAACAAGTTTTGGTGTAGTCAAATGCAACATACTTAGTTTCCGTGGTCACAACACTTTGATTCCGAATTACCAATTGATATGATGCTACACGAACAACAGATTCGTCGTGTTCAACACTACAAATATCTGGATATTGTATTGCACGAACCACTGTATCACACCATGCGACTGGACTATATTCAGATTGCTGTATCCAATAGCATGTCAGTTGTGTCCGACTCTTGCAAACCATCAACTCACAATCAACTTTCAGACACGAATATGTTTGGCAGTCATTCTAGTAATGATCATGTATGCACTGGATCTGATTGGTGGTAACTTGACCTGCATACACAGTCAACAGTCAACAACGGTGTGCTACACATATTGAATGCATGCAAATCCATGACTGTCAACTCCTTGTTGTTGAAATGGGTTCAGATCACCATCAGCTCGCTTACTCGTTGCACCGATGCGATTGCATGATCAACCTGGCACCAACCAAACCACATTCGAATATATATGTTCCAGTCATGTGCATGGTGTATCGATTGTCAATTCCAACACATTCCACCATGATCATGGTCACATCACACCATGCTGATGTATGTCGATCAGTATCACATTGCAACCAGTTATCATCCAATGACTGCAATGCAATACCGTGCATGTATTGTGACTGATACGCTGTGCCCATCAACAAGTGTGCAACTGTCACTCGATATATCGACTCTGATATGCAACAACATGCTGTGTTTACCATGATCAGGTTTTTGATCAATCTTGGACTCATGATACATGATTTGACATGTTGGATCGTGTGGATGTGTCATGAACTGCAATTTAGTTGCAGACACACACATGTTTGACATTGACCGATGCATACTGTGCAACGACTGATCAGTGCGTGTGTAATTGCACACTTGGTGGTATTGTGCATTATAGTTGTTTGACAATGTATGAATGCTGGATTAGTCGGTTATATGCAACCCATTTGAATCGACCTATTTGGACCATCACTCGATGTAACTGACAACAATGTGTATACATGGCTGTTGGATCAGTCGAGTTTCTGTTGGTAGTGTACCAGTGGTAACAGACACAACCCTGACACCATCACAGGAACAATCATACAACAGTTGACCAATACACTTGTAACACCACCAGCATATGCTCGTATGGATATGACATGTTCACATGAGTTCATTTCATGTCTTGGCATTCGTTTAAATAAAACTTGTTCAAAAGTAAATCATGACCATAGCAGGCTTACGATTGTAATAGTACACCAAAGTCAACCCCTGCAGCCATTAACAATGTATTACAATCAAACGTTGCATAGAAACCTCCACTTTGATCATGGTTTGGAACTGTAAACTGCCTGTTTGGTTTATGTTAATGTACAGATTCTACAAATGGTATGCCAAAAATCATGCCAAAATCAAAATCACCAAACAGTATCGTTAGATCAGCCGAGTGATGTCATGTATTCAATCGAGATGGATTGCAGTTCAACAAACTGGTTGCAGTGCACAAGACACGAACAATAAATGATTCTGTCATCCAAATCAGCACTAAACAATCTACCGATACTTTGAATAAACATCAATAAAAACATACTCTTGTGTGGTTGAATGAAATGTACACATCAAATACTTGATCCACATTGATGGTGACAATTACGCATTTTTTTGACTTTATTCTCACTTGGTCCCTATTGTTCGTATTGTTCCTGTTAAAGAAATCAGACCTTTGTTGAAGCAATCAGACTCTAGCCGATTACGAACCGTTCAACTAATTAACTTACATCGGATATAATATCCGAGCAGGGTATTATTCAATTTTAACACAATGTAACACTAGTGTGTCACATTGTATATCCCCTAATTCATAACTTCACCATCATTATTGACCCTTATGTTTCTATAACGACCCTACTTACTTTAACATGGTATTCATAGTTACCAATCATATGTAACTGTATCCCATTATAACAACACAGCTAACAGCTGGAATCAATCCTATTGGCCAAGTTATCTCCGGGTACTATAGCCTATTATCAAATACTACCTGTTTGAGCCACAAGCCTCAAACAATCTTTTACTATAAAAGCCAAGACACTTTCTTATTAAATAAATATCCTCTGAATATCCTCTGAATCAATCTTCTAAATATCATCTGACATAACTTCGTTATTATCTATTAAGTTCAACTCGTTATTCTGTTGACTTTAATTTGCGTGACTACTTCCTGATTATCATTCAAGATCTCTTCTGACCGATCTTTTCTACAGCGGCAGATTATATATTATTACCTTATACTTTACTAATTGAAAGACTCAGTCTCTTTCTCTATTTTCTATCTCTATACTTCTTGCGCGATAATCAAAATCTTTAACAGGTTATGAGCCCAGCCGGAAGCCACGCAGTAAAGATCACAGACGGTCTATACGTACCAAGACTAAACAAAGCTAATTTCAGCAAATGGTATATCAGCATCGAAGCAGTATTCGAACATTATGAGTTATGGGATTCACACGTCATTGCAGTACCGCCAGAAAAGGCAGAAAAGGCTTTTAAAATAAAAGAAATCAAAGCAAGAGGATTAATTTGCTCAACAGTCAGCGAAGAAGACTACGAAGAATTCACTGAAGATTCACACGGAACTCCGCTATCAGCACGCGATTCAATCGCTAAAATCGTCAAACACTTCAGAACAGGAAATCTGATCGAGATCCACGGATTGGAAATCAAGATGCAAGAACTCACTTACAACACAGATGAAGGAGTCAAAGTTCTATTTGAAGAAATGACTAAGCTACGGAAAGCGCTCGAGAGAATGAACGTTGTAACTTCAAATTCCGAGTTCTTCAGAAAAATCCTATGGAAGCTAATCGATGTATCACGACATTGGGTCTCGATGAGAAAGGAATTCAATGACTATTCTGAAAAAGACTTCTCTACAAAGCCTATCAAGGACATGCTAGTCAGAGAAGAGGAGGATCTAATAAGAGCTCACGAATTACCAAAATTACAAAACGCCGAAGTCGCGTTACACAGCTCATTCGGACAAAGAAAGCCACCAAGAGCAAACTACAATAATCAGTCGCATTTCAAGGGCACTGATAACAAAGGAAATTACTCGAACGATTCTAATCAGGATGTTCACTACAATAATCAGCCACATCTCAGGGGCTTTACCAACGGAGATCACTCGAACGATTCTAATCAGAATGTTCAAAACTCCAATAATTCATCTTACTGGCCAAACGGCAAGAAGAAGATATTGTGTCGTAATTGTGGAAAGCTAGGATCTCATTTAGCAAAAGACTGTCGAGCTCGGTCCTCAAATAACAGTCAATCAAACAGTAACTACGCATCTACGTCATGCTACAACTCAAACGCTAATAATGATTTCTCGTTTCACAATACCACAACTTCACCAAAAACTGACTACTGCAGTATCAGCAGAAACAGTGTCAACGAAATTATTCTTGACTCGGGTGCTACCACTCATATGGTATGCAACAAGAACTGGCTGTCTAATACAGTACCGTTGCAAAATCACAGTGTCAAAGGTTCGATGAAAACGGCTACTAATGCCGAATGCAAAGGGTCGCTTCAACTCAAAGTCTGGAATGGAAAAGCCAGTCGCGTTATTACTATCAATAACGTGCTATATGTTCCTGGATTCGAGGTCAATCTAATCTCTCCAGGAAAACTAGCTGTCGAGTTCGGATGCTGGACTAAGCTCAATAAACAAGGAGCTGTCCTCTACACTAAGAACGATGTACAAGTCTTACGTGCACACAAAGTCGGCACACTAGATATTATCAAATGCGACATCATCATCCCGGATTCTAATAATGGACCCAATCAAGGCGAATACAACGACCAATCCTATGCAGCATCTGCCATATTCAATTCTCCAGCAAATCTATATACATGGCATAGACGACTAGGTCATATCGGTAAAGGATTAATCTTAGATCTAGCAAAGAATGTCAAAGGCATGGAAATTATCAAGAATCCAGTAAATACACCTATTCATATATGTGAAGCTTGCGTCGAAGGACAAGCACATAAGAAACCTTTTCCAGTGGTAAGCCACACAAAATCAAAAGCCATCAATAATCTCCTTCATATGGATCTTGCTGGACCTTTCGAAGTACAGTCTCTCGGTAAGGCCAAGTACTATTTAGTCATAGTAGATGACTATTCACGATACTCGCATCTGTATCCAATCGCTCACAAGTCAGCGACACTCAGTGTTCTTAAGGATCACATTACTCTTGTGGAAAACACTACAGACACTAAAATCCGAAATATCAGATCGGACAATGGAGGTGAATTCACATCTAATGAATTCAAAGCTTACCTAGCGTCAAAAGGAATCGGACATCAACTTACGGCTCCTTACAATCCACAGCAGAACGGAGTTGCCGAAAGGAAAAATAGAGCAATTGTAAATGCTGTTCGGTCCATGCTCTCAGATTCTGGATTGCCACGTACATTTTGGGCTGAAGCTGCCACTACCGCAACTTATCTACAAAATAGGACTCCCCACACAGCTATCGGTGGAAGAACTCCCTACGAACTATGGACTGGAAACGTTCCAGCAATACCTCATCTACGAGTATTCGGATGTCTAGCTCATGCTCTGCTACCCACAAACTTGCTTAAAAAACTAGATGCGCGGACTAATCGCTGTGTCATGCTCGGCTACAAAGCAGGAACCAAAGCATATCGGGTCTACGATATGAACTCGAAACGGGTAGTTACTTCGAGGGACGTCACATTTGACGAAAATGTCTTCCCTATGATGAAGCCTAATCACAGGGCTTATGATTGGAATGTTCCTACTACACTTTCCAAATCCAAAACTACTCACCCAAATATTGATAACGATAGTGATGATGAAATGCCATTCGTTAATCCTAACTTCTCTACTACTACTACTACTCCTACATCTCCTCCTGAACTAATAGAGGATGATTATATGACTACTGAATCTACTACTCCTACTAGAACTATAACTGATAATGTAGATCCATTCGCTAGATCTTATCCCTCTACATTCAGTCCATCACATTTACCTACTTCTATAAACAGGGAATGTTCTAATGTTCCATCTGAGGATTCAATTCAATTACCCCCTCAGATCCCCCGACGAGGTATCTTTCGGAACAAACAAATTCACGCCTCCTTACGTGAATCAAGCCTAAGCGGTATCAGGAAACCAAAGGCAAATACAAAAATCGTTGCAGAGTCTACGCAAACTATTCCTAATGAAGCAATCAACGCTTCAAGTCCCCGGATTCAGGAACTATCTCAATCCGATTCCGAAGTGGAAGACACACCACTTAAAGGTAAAACTCAGGGACCCTACTATTGTTACAAAAGGCAACCAGACTTTGATCACATGGATTCAAGTCTCTTTTCTGCTAGTACAACTACATCAATATTTCCATCGAATTGGAAACAAGCAATTGCTGCCCCAGATGCAAATCTCTGGAAGATCGCAGCAGATAAAGAAATGAAGTCACTTAAGGAAAATCAAACCTGGCAAGTTTGCGAAGTACCTAAAGATCAGCGCGTTATTCAAGTACGCTGGGTCTTCAAAATCAAATACAATACGGATGGATCCATAGACAAATATAAGGCCAGATTAGTAGCCAAAGGATTCGTTCAAGTCCCAGGAGTGGACTATCATGAAACATATGCTCCAGTACTAAGGTTTACATCCCTCAGAACACTACTCTCACTTGCTGCCATCCATGATCTCGAAGTCGATCACACGGATGCAAATAATGCCTTTCTCAATGGCAATATCGAAGAAGAACTCTACATTGATCTCCCAGAAGGATATCAAGAACAGTCCAAGAATAGACAAACCAAACTAGTCGGACGACTGAAGAAGGCGCTTTACGGTCTCAAGCAAGCACCACATCAGTGGAATCAAATTCTCGTCTCAAAATGTTTGGATCTTGGCTTTACTCAATGCACTTCAGATCCCTGCATTCTCACTATGCGTAAAAGCGACTCATTTGTCATAATTGCCATATATGTCGACGATATACTATTCATTGGCAATAATCGAGAATTACTCGATGTCTCAAAAGGAAAATTATTCAAGGAATTCTCTATGAAGGATCTAGGACCGATCCATACCTGTCTTAATATTCGAATCATTAGAGACAGAGTCAAGAGGACTATCTCAATATCTCAGGAACACTATCTAAAAGATGTTCTCAAAAGATTTTACATGTTGGACTGCAAACCAGTTGCAACACCAATAGAATCTGGCACCAATTTGACTGCATCTCTCCCAACGGAACCAGTTACCGACGCTCCTTATCGCGAAGCAGTTGGAGCTTTGATGTACGCAATGGTTGCTACTCGACCAGATCTCGGCGCTGCCATCGGTCAAGTTTCCAGATTTATGCACCATCCAAACGATACACATTGGACTGCTGTTAAACGTATACTAAGATACGTAAAATACTCACTTAATTATTCTCTTACGCTAGGAGGGGATAACACCACTCTGGTAGGATACTGTGACGCAGACTGGGCAGGAGATGTAGACTCTCGGAAAAGCACCTCCGGATACACTTGCTTTCTAGGCAATAGCTGTATATCATGGAGATCTACTAAACAGACTTCTGTAGCTATCTCAACTATGGAAGCTGAATATGCAGCCGCTGTCACTGCCACTCAAGAATTATTATTTCTACGCAATATGCTTAATGAACTCGGATTCACTCAAGAAAGAGCTACGATACTCTACTCCGATTCACAATCAGCAATTGCAAACACGGAAAATCAAGCACCCAATCATGCTACAACTAAGCATATGGACGTCAAGCTTAAATTCCTACGCGACCAAGTCTCGCAAAAGAATATACTAGTCATGTATATTAGAACTCAAGATCAGATCGCGGACATCATGACAAAAGGTCTTCCAAGGATCGCCTTTGCCCAATTCTCAGATCTACTTGGACTGAGAGCCGTTCAAGGCGAGGAGGGGTGTTAAAGAAATCAGACCTTTGTTGAAGCAATCAGACTCTAGCCGATTACGAACCGTTCAACTAATTAACTTACATCGGATATAATATCCGAGCAGGGTATTATTCAATTTTAACACAATGTAACACTAGTGTGTCACATTGTATATCCCCTAATTCATAACTTCACCATCATTATTGACCCTTATGTTTCTATAACGACCCTACTTACTTTAACATGGTATTCATAGTTACCAATCATATGTAACTGTATCCCATTATAACAACACAGCTAACAGCTGGAATCAATCCTATTGGCCAAGTTATCTCCGGGTACTATAGCCTATTATCAAATACTACCTGTTTGAGCCACAAGCCTCAAACAATCTTTTACTATAAAAGCCAAGACACTTTCTTATTAAATAAATATCCTCTGAATATCCTCTGAATCAATCTTCTAAATATCATCTGACATAACTTCGTTATTATCTATTAAGTTCAACTCGTTATTCTGTTGACTTTAATTTGCGTGACTACTTCCTGATTATCATTCAAGATCTCTTCTGACCGATCTTTTCTACAGCGGCAGATTATATATTATTACCTTATACTTTACTAATTGAAAGACTCAGTCTCTTTCTCTATTTTCTATCTCTATACTTCTTGCGCGATAATCAAAATCTTTAACAGTTCCTACTATCCCTATGTTGCTAGCCGTAAGGGTTTTGAAAGACACAATGTCGCCCTTTAGACTTGGTGGAAACTGGCATCAGTCATACTATGAGACTGATTGCTTGTTGTGTGCTTGAACTCCCTTATCTGGTGTTCCATCTTACACGAGTACAGTTGTAACAATAGCCTTTAGTTTTGACCCTTTAATCAATCCATGTTGTATAAATATCAAAACAAACTGCCAAAACTATCCAGTATTTCGACACTATCGGAATAAATTGCTGCTCGTCTGTATTGCTCATCTGGATAGTTTACAATGAAACAAGCTGTGATTTTTATAATTTCGCTGCTGGCAGCCATGTCGTCGGCTATAGTCGTATCAACTTCTGAAAGTCCAGCTCCAACATTCGAACCATCACCATCACCATCGACATCAGGCTCAACATCAGGTTCACATCCACCTTCAGCTCCAGCACTATTATTTCGACCCCATAGTGATACTCGTGTCGCTAGTCTGTTTTCACGCTATAATATACTTTTGGGACAATACAATTCGAAAGTCGCTGAATGCAAAGTTTTAAAACAGGATTGTGAAGACCTCGACAGCATCGCACGTATACAAACACTTACACATACTCTGACTCTAGATAAATGCAACCGTGATAAAGGCTCATCAAAAAAAATGCGATTAAAGGCCACCTCCAACTGTATGAAAGAAAATTTAAAAAAGGCCAAGGATGTGTATCTTCAATCCCTTGCGAAAAAAATCCATATATGTGGTGAAGTCAGTCGACTCAAAGCAAGAATGAACGAGGTCGAGGCTAAAGTTCAAAACTTGCTATTCAATAATCAACAATAGCTTGATTAAATATCAAACTGTTACCAATCTGCATACAATTAAAACAATAAAGTTTGGAATCATGATATATGTGTATTGTTTGTAGGTGCACATTGTACAACAGTGAATGCAATGGATTGTCATTGGCTGTTGTTTTGAACCATTTTATCAACAAATGCAACTGCTTATGACATGCAATAGATTTGGATGATATACCAACAAAAAATGAACATAAACTGGTTTACCGAGTATGTTGTATACAACAATTGCTTTTATACATGTTTGATATGGATCATTCAGCTGGGACCATTGCATTGTTAATAATCGACTAGACTCATGGATGTGTATTTTAAGCTAGTTTGTATCATAATTATGACAGGATGTGTGATGAGATGATGCAGTGGACATATATACAACGTGTATTACAGTAAAAACATGAACTGATTGTTTGGACATGTATGGAGCAGAGCTGTTGTAACATCCAAGCGACTATACTAAACATGTTGAAAAGCATCAAATGGCAGTAGGTTGATCACCAAGAAACAATGCTACAAGTCTGAAATGCAACATGATGACTATTTATCAACGTAATATTGATTGTCTGGTATTTACACTGTAAATCAATATCAAGTGGGTTCCAATTACGATTTTACTGATCATGATGGATAATGTTTGGCAAGTCAAAGATATGGACATGTGGATGTGGATGCTAATCACCATTGAATCAAACCACTGCATGTTTTGTTGCACAGTAAATACTATATTGAACAAGTCCAAATCCAAGTGTTTGTAATGATAGAGGTTGGTGATGAGTTACACTTGTGATTGAAACCTGATTGGTATTGCATGTCATGTGTCAATACGACATGTCAAGCAGTATCATATCGACACGATCCACACATGCATGTCAGCATCATCAATGTGTACAACTATGCAATATACAATCAACTGTATTGTATCGTATTGGAAACACAAGTGTCGATGTACACTATGATACCATGTCAACCAAGACTGGAGTAATCAGATACAATGCATGTAAATCCAAATTTATTGCAAATTAAGCCAGAATGACAATTGAATCGGTTGAAACCAATCCAGATTGACATTCAAATCAATGGTTCGCGATCTTCATCTCCGGGTCGCTGAAACAATGATCCAGCATTACCCACAAGCCTGGAAAACACATTTCGTCTATTGGAAGGAACTCTCTGTCCAAGGGATCCAGATGGTCTACTTGATGATGGTTGCGGATCTTGATGTTGTTGATCACCACTAGGGGTTTGACCAAGAGACTTATTGCGTCCTGATGATTGTCCTTTACTAGCTAATTCGCCAAGGTAACCTTTAACGGAAGAATGTGTGATGATGAGAAAAAATCTCTGATTAAATGATCTAAGATCCCAACTTCCAAAAACGAGCACCACAAGCTTTATGCTGATGAGTTCCAGTTTAGAAACAATACCCCTATATTTAGACTCGCACTCCTTGCGACTTTTTTTAAGATTGGCAAGTTTGGCTTTTTGGGCTTCAAAATTAGACTCATTCTCCTGAATTTCACCATCATATTCTGAACCGCCACTATTTCCTCGAGATTTATGTTTCAAAGCTTTAATCTTTTTTTTCAAGCGCTTTACCAGTTTCTTTTGATCTTCATATTGAAATCTTAACGAGTCGCATATTTTTTTTTGTTCAATGCGATCATGCTTTGTTTTCTCGTATTTGTCGAGCAAATCCTTGATGATGTCTGGAAGTGGATTAAGACCACCTAAGCCTATACCGTTTGGATTAGGAGTTGGAAAGGTTCTAGCTTCAACATATGTAGTTGCACTGGGAATGAAAGTTGAAGTGCTAGTTTCAACATCTGTACTTTCACTGGGTTTAACTGGATTGGCAATAGTAACCGAGCAAGCAAACAGGATTGATGACAATACAGCAACTGCGAGTTTCATTTTACTGTTTTGGTTGAGCAAGTTGTAATGTCGTTTAACAAGTCGGTTTTGAACTATACTTATATCCATTATCGAGTGGTGATAGTAAAAGCATATCCCTTGAATGACCGTCCTAAGGAGCTTGTGTTGCCAGGGTTGAATGGTGATTTGCTATCAGCGTCAAACTTTGAAGAGTCTCCCTTTGTATGTTGACCTATAACCTTGGCTGAGCTGCTATCTGACCATACGCTTGAATATCATATGGTTGATTATAAAGCTTTGCCCTAAAAATGGCTATGATCAAGGGTTAGGGTCAAGAAATGAGCATAAACCAAAACTGGAATGAGTTGACACTCGGATATGTCAGAATATTTCGAGCTTCGTGATTTGTTTTGTATGTAGAATAGTAAAAAATGTAAAGTAGATAAAGTATAATCTGTAACTGTTAGTAGTTATCAGAAGAGAACAAATCAGAAGTTCAAGAGGAAGTTGCACTTGAAATCAAAATCAACAGACTTAGTCTTTTCAACCGTAGTGAAAAGGGTTTGATAAGGTAGTTAGAAAGATGAAATAGTTTGAAGAGTTATTTATTGATAAGAGTAAGCATTCTAGCTTTTATAGTAGTTGATTGTTTGTGTCTTGTGATACGAACAATTAACCCGTTTGATGATGAGAGGTTGTAAATGAAAGTTACAACCAATAGTGTTGATTTCTGGAGTTAGTAAATTTAATAATGGCATCGTCTACCCGTTTATAGAGAGCTCGAGTCCTAGAAATGAGTGTAATGGAGTTACTGTGCACATGGATTTTTTTGGTGATGAAAGGATTTAACTTGTGTTTAAGTTGGCGCTTTTTAGAACTAGCTTTGCCACAGGTTACCGCTTAAGAGTATCTGTCTGGATATTCCAACAATAACAATATCATGAAAATGATTGGATCAACGGTGAATATTGATGTTAAACTCGTCAAAGTCAAGTTGCGGTTTACAAAACGTATACAAGGATTCAGGAGTCGAGTTGAAGCAACAAAGGCGTACAAGCAACTGATTCAACTACAAATAGAGCATTGGAATCAAGCAAGCAAGTTAAAGCGACAGTTTAATAGACATATCAACAAACATCCTTTCCACCCAAAATACAAAACAATACAGTGCAAGACACATGTTCACCAATGTGGAAGAGTCGATGCAAAATATACCGAAAAAATCACCAATCAAACATTGGATATTGGCTTGATATTCAATTTGGGTATATGCTGCAAAATGTAGATACTGAAAAGACAATTCAATTTAATATTTCAGATAATACATTATTGTTTAATGGTAACAATCAATCCATGATTAATATGGATATTGACATTATTTTGGATCTGATTGACGAAAATAATATTATTGAATGCATGAAACGTCATAATTCAAAGTATATTGTTGAAAGTATCTATGAATATGCTATTCTTGCAAGTAACACTGGTTGTTATCATGTCATTGATGTATATGGAACAAACCGTGTCAATGTATCAATCAACAATCCAGTAATTGTTGATGTAATACCCAACACAATATACAATCAATGATATGGTTGTTGACCCATTCACAATACTCGACAAATATCAACATATCAGAAAGTTTAAATTTATTCAAAATCAAATTGGTTGGCAAGTCATCAATCTGAATCTGATTCCGGCTCTTGAAATCTCAAACCATGCTCTTTCATAAAATCCTTCAATCGTTGTCTGAAATTATATACTCTTTTGCTTGCCTTTTCATACTCTTGTTTCAATATCTTTTCAACCTTTGGATTGTACGTTGATCCAGATATATCTTCTCCCATTGCTAACGCTGACCATTGTTCCAATCCAAGGTCTGTATGATCATTATATTCTTGGCGTTTTTTCTTTTGTATTTTTTTAGACGCTACAAGCCCTTGCTTTAGACCATCAAGGGTTTCCTGATATTTTTGGCTTAATATAATCACTCGATTTGAAGCAGTATTTGAAGACTCGCCTTGTCCCATTGAATGTTGCTGGTCTTGACTGGAAGTACTTGGAATGGGTTGATCAATCGGTTGTTTCCGACTTTGTTTTGGAGCACTTGGACTGGGTTCATTAGTTGAGCCAGACGCTTGGCTAAAAATGCTTGGACTGATTTCATTGATTGGCCGTTTCCGACTTCGTTTGGAAGTACTCGGACCGGGTTGATCCATTGATTGTTGTTGCTGACTTTGTTTGGAAGCGTTTGGATCAACTTCATCCATTATACGTTTTCGGCCTTGTTTGAAAGTACTTGGACCAGTTATAGTTGCAGTCGGTTGTTGACCTTGAGTGGGAATATTTGGATTAGGTTGATCCATTGGTTGTTGCCGGATTCGGCCGGGAAGGCTTAAATCCACTGGTTCTTCCTGATATTCATTGGAAGTGTCTGGATTAGGTTCATCAGTTGGGCTGGACAATTGACTAGAAGTGACTGATGTGTGGGCTGAACCATTATTATCAGTCGGTATCAGTATTGCATTAGCGGTTGCTGCTGCAGTCAGTACAAATAGAATATCAACCAATTTCATCAGACTGGTCGATGGGTTTAAACGATTAATACAAAAGTAGAGTGTTGAAACTGATGTCGATTAAAATATTGAACGTAATCGATTGTATTTGTATGTTTTTGTATAGCAAACCAACCCTTTTAGTTTAACCAACAACACAGGGCTATTAGATTGCTTGTAGTGGGCCAATATCAAACTAGACAGTATGCTGCTCCCTATTCACAATATCATATTGATCAATTTGATGATCGTGTCGATTGAATTATGCTTTTACGACCCTTTGATCAGGTATATTGAAAAGCACCCTTCATGAGTGTGTTGTGTGGCCGCAAACGCTTTGATTTACAACCGTATTCATGTCAAATGGTTCACTTTGATATTCATCCAACAATGTCTGTATTCTGCATTGCAACATACAATGATTACTGCACATTGACTGCATTACTTGTTTGATATACAACGACTATCATATGGCACACAATCAGACTATAGTGTTGAATCTACACATTGTGCACTCTTAGTAATCATACATTGTTCGATCACCAAGTTTGAACCCACATTCATGTATTGTGTTTGACTGTCGATATTGTCAATACAACTCTGTACACATTTGTTGTGTTCATCACCATCCAACCCAATCTCACCATTTCAATCAATCTTGGTCAATGTTGATGATTTACACGCTAATTCATTATCCAATCTTGTCTGACATTATTATTGGCTTTAATCACGTTTGGTTTGTACAACTGCCATGAGTTGTACTACCATTATCATCGTGTATCTAAACACCAAACATTCCAATACATCAATAATACCACAGTGTAAACAGTAATACAGTTGATCAGTATTGTGACAAGACTTTTCATTCAAGTTTGTATTTGAAAATACTCGATGGTTTAATCACCACACACTGTTTGTAATGCAATTGTCATTGATTTCATTTCATTCCACTCCAGTCCATCTGATTTATGATGATGTTTAGTAATCCATTACCATGTGTTGTAGTAAACTAGTTTGTTTATTGAACCAAATCCACAACGATCACATTCAGAATATTAATTTACAGTATTTCTAAATGCATGTTTGATAACAATCCAATTTTGTTACAAAAAACTGATCAAAACAATACTAAAATGGAACAACTCGTTTGTGTGTTTGACAACAATCCAAACATGAACAATTCTTGGCAATTGTTGGACATTCGCATGAATGAAATTGTCAAATCAAAATTCAACTTTACTAATTTTATCAAACATGAAGTTGGATGATGTTATGAAAGAGTTGATTCAACACCTGGAAGATTTGAAACTGTTAACAACGGATGCTCAACTATACAAGGCTGATGAAATATGGGATAAACTGCATGTATTGATACTGGAGTTGGAAGAACAGAATCGAAGTAAGTTTAATAGCCATTGTATTATTGATGAATTCAAGCCATTGCTGACTTTGTGTTGGTTTGAAGTGACAGGATCTACAGATGTAGTGCATCGTTTACAGAGTATTGAACTGCAAGATATCATAACCAAGTATTTGGAGTATAATCGACCCAGTTTACAGGTATTCATATATTGTAACAATAATGGATTGTTCATGACTAAACTAATCAACATGTGTTGTGTAGATCAAAGTAATGAAGTTTACTACAGTGTTTTTGAGAATGGTGTACAGTAATAATGAGTTAAAAGTATCACATCAACTAAACAATCAACTTGTACAACTCATGCAATCACCAAACCGTCAAGTCAAAATAGCGGCAAGTCATGATTGATATTGATCAAATGATTGACACTCAACTCATCTAGTGTCAATATGCATATAGGCGATAAAAACATGTACAGAGCTGTTCAATCATGAGTATAACTGTGACGTTGAACCCATGGTTGATATGGTTACGATTCTGATCAAGAAATGCTCAGATTGGCAATTGGCCTGTTTTCGACCGTTTGTCATGATATTGACGATCAAAATGTATGTTTGCAATGATACAATATTGGATCAGTTTGGACAGTGTCTTGTCATGTCATGTTGATTGTATACTTGACATTGAACAATATCATTAGTTTGGCATCGTGGTATCAAGACTTGTTTCACGACTGGAATCATCCAGTGGTCTAGTTGCTGTTGGGTTTATCGAAAATCTTCAAACCATGTATCGGAATATTTGTCATCATGACCCAGTAAAAGCAGTGGAATGTGGTATCATTCCAGCACTGGTCAATACGCTCAGGTATGTGATGTTATGCATGAATGTGTGTCCAGTCATCACAGTTGGTAAATTTGACATGGTTGGATTGACATGACATGAATACAGCAACAACTCTGGGCTAAAAACACGCATAATCAAGATAGCTGGAACAATTGTATCTGGTATGCGCGACTTTCCTGTATCACTTGTACGATCGTTGGTTTTTGAGCAATTGACGATATCAATATATGGTGCCGATATACGTAACTGTTTGCGCTGGTCTAATAATGTCAACGACATGATTCAGAAATCTACAAACAAGGACGAGATGATCAAGGTGTTTTGAGAATATGGAATTGTAAAGCAACTCAACACTATTTTTTCACGTAGATATCTATGTTTGCATGATTCTGGTGCTGGTACTGTAAAACTACTCAAAACACTTGCTGATTTTGCCGACAATCATCCCGACAGTTCAATACGTACCGAGTTGGATCAAGGCGGGATGTTTGAAAATCTAACGGCTATTGTAAAATCGGATACTGCTAACTACATAAACAAAAGGATTACTGATCAGATCATTGAAACGTGTTTCCAGCATCGGGTTCAGACTGCTAGTTCGAGCATTCAGTCATACAACGACAATGCCGAAATTGATATGAAATCTGGAATGGCCGGGGAGGTACGTGGACAGGCACGCACACTTGTCGAGATGCGGTATATCCAGTATCTGCAATGTATACTTTGCAAACCCATGTGGTGGATCGATATCACAAACCAGCATATTGTGGAGCAATGGAGGGCTGACTCACTCGATCGGAATATATCACCATCAACATTTAATCTTGCATTGGAACAACTCGGGGTTTTTGTCAAGCAGCTTGTTTGTAGTGGCAGTGATGGATTTGGCACAATTGTACCAGGACCTGTTGAACTGACGTATATACTGGACAATGGCATACCTGACAATGTATATACGCGATTGATGACAAATGTATCGGATATTGAACATGGATCAAATCACAACACTGGTCAAATGGTGCAAATCTGATTGATGCATCAATGTACAGTGTTGTATATGGACAAACGATGATTGCACCACTGGATATACGACTCGAATACACCACAATGGTACCATGCGATATATTGCTATCGACTCGACTTGTTTCAGATGTGTCTATGATTGAAGGTAATCCCGAGTTTATATCACGCAAGTTCCAATGTCTTCCGAGTGAATTCCGTGTCGAACAGAATGGCAGTGTGACCATCAACTCATACATCAACAATCTGAATCCGATATGGCATCGAGACATGTACAAATGCATTGCCAAAATATTCAAATGTTTTGTCCCAATGTTTGAAAGTCTGTTCAGAACGATGGATCCAATGTTCAAGTATATTGATCTTCGTAATGGCATAAATGGATATGAATCACCAAGCCAGTCAGACTATGGTGGTATGGAATCAGACACTCGAGTCACTCGTCCCGTGTATGTACCAACACTTCCGGAACATTTTGAATCCAAATATGAACCAGCAGAGCCAGTATCACTGCGTGGTCGTAATCTGCAAGTCATTGTCAAACTCACCAACATTCAACTGACACCATCCAAACCTAAATACGACAAGGGAAACTGGCACATTGAAGGTCCAATTAACGAATCGATTATTGCAACTGGACTGTATTACTACGACGTGGAAAATATCACCACACCCAAACTCGATTTCCGCGAGGCTGTTAGTTGGTGTCATTATCAAGGAGCATCTGATATGTATTGGAAAGATGTGTGTGACATTGATCAAGAATCACCACGCAATCAGTATATAGGATCGCTTGAAGTATCAAATGGTCGATGTGTAGTTTATCCCAATCGATACCAACACAAAGAACAATCATTTGAACTTGCAGATTCAACTCAACCAGGACACTGCAAGATTCTGACATTTTTTGTAGTGAATCCATTTCGTCGGATTGTTTCGACTGCGCATGTGGCTCCACAACAACCACAATGGTACAACTCGAGTTTTGACAAGACACCCATACTGCCTGAACTGTGGAATGATGCCACGCAGTATATTCAAGGTGTTCAATCACCAGCTAAAGCCAAACACTATCGAGATGAATTGACAAGCGACCGAATTCAAATCATAACGGCATATAACGAATACAGATATGAGCTGGTATATGATCTTCATCGTTGGTGGTGAATTGTGAGGTTGTGATTTTACAACAATGATTTGCAATGCCAGTCGGATCTATACAATTGAATAAATTGAATCAATCATGTCAATCATGACAGTGATTGTTGATTATATTGACTGATTGTGTACAATTGATTGATACAAGTGATATGTATGCATCATTCGGTGTTGTTGAATCAGATCACTGCTTGATTCTGTCAATGTGATCAAATGGATTACTACAAAACTGTACATGCTCAAGTTGAATCAAGTATTGAATCGAGTATTGGATTGATATTTACACACAACCACAATTACAACAACAATTGCAATCAGCACAGTCTGAATATTAGACATTTGAACATCACATATCGAGTTGTGGATAAATGCGAGTTGGCATATTGGACTGTTTTTGTAGTTTATTAATGATTTGATTCACGACTATTTGAATTCAAGGCTCAATATGGATTACAACTGGATTGTCATTGTTTCCATTTGGAATGACAAATCTGTCAATGTGTTGATTGATTCCTAGTTCATTGATCAATCCGTCGATCAGTAATTGTCCAAATCAAAGTTGTATCCGAGTCGAGTTGTCAATCAGGATACCGTAACCTGACATCCAAACGATTATTCAAATGACTGTTGAAACCATCAATGATTGCCAGAATAAGCTTTATGATTCGACTGCAATAACCACCACAGTCATGGTCAGGTTAGTATGTTGATCCGTTTACAAAGTTCCAATACTGCAACAGATTCAACATACTCTTGAAAGTGCTGCACACCACATGGATCCAGCAAACCCACTGATGAATTGAACCAATCAATTGACCAATGACATGACTCGATATTGGACATCGAGTTGCACACAGTGGGTAAAAAGTCACCGACATGTTCAGATAGTCAAACCTTGACTACAGGTTGATATCATCACCCAACACACCAAATACAACACATAATCTGAACGACTACTGGATCATATTGTGGATATCAATCGACGGAGTTACTGGTTCCAAACAACCATGTACAATCATGTACAGTCATGTACAGTCATTACAGGACAATATGATACATTTCTGAATAGCATGTTGTAATCAACACGAGTGGAGTTGTGCAATATACTTGTCATGGTTTACAATGGTTTACAATGGTTTGATATGAACATGATGACTCGAACTCTATTCAGTCGGATCAACTCAACTACAATTGGTCGTGTATATTATGATTGACACGATCAATTGTAGTTGAACTCGAATACAGATTGACTGTTGAATCACAATGCGTGGTATTAGCAACATGATGTGCTATATAGTGGAATGTATACGCTAATCTGACATGTGTCATGTAGTGTGTATTCGATCAATATGGGTATTAGCAATCAACAAGTCATACGATGTTTGTGTTCGAGTGATGGAGTGGAGTGGAGTGGAATGAGTGCATCAATCCAGAATACGAATCAACCATGACATATGATCATAATGTGTGGTTGATACAACTATATAGTGACAATCGATGTTGATATAATAACACACAACATGCAATGCCAACACAACAGTTGCAAGTCATTGATCATCAATGTGGCATTGTGATTGCAACATGAACTATATTGTATTGATTCAGTTGATTGATTGAATTACTGGACAATGTGTAGTGATGACTGATCGTGTCGAGTTGAATGCAAAGCATTACTAAACCACATGTTGAATCATGTCAACCACAACACATATTGATAATCATCCAACAACTAAATATCAGCTCAGTTGCATTTAGCCCTATTTGACCTACACTTGACTATATTGTGGCACACTAACCCTTTTATGGTGGATAATTATACAATCGATCAATCGTATGGTGTTCAATGCATAGCCGAACAGCGGCTCAATCAAGATTATGGGTGATCATATAAAGGGATGTTCCTTAAACTTTGACGTCGATAGCAAGTCAACACCAACCCTGACAGCAACACTAGTTCCTTAGGACGATCATCCAGGGAACATGCTTTTAACACTATTCCCTGAACAACGAATATAAATACGATATAAACCCGACTTGTCAGATAACAATCATCCACAACTTGATCAAATCAATACAATGAAACTCGCAATCACCGTTTTATCATCAATTCTGGCCATCTGCTCAGTTACTGTCGCCAAACCAGTTAATCCCAGCGCGACTACAAGTGTTGAATCTAGCACTTCAACAGCTGTTCCCAGTGCACAAACCACAGGCTGGATTAATTTTGATCAACTTTCAGACGAGGGCATGAATTTGATCAAAGAATACGCACGAGTGAATAAACAGCATAATGAGGCAAAGGCAATGTGCGGCTCGACAGAATCCATAATAGTTTCTCAAGAAAAATTGGTAAAAGGACTAGCTAGCGAGCTTGGAGATTTGATGGATAAAACCCATAAAAGCAAGGATGGTTCAGAGTACGAGGAAGAAGTCAAAAAAGCCAATGCTCGGTTTGCAGAACAACATTACCTTCTTCTCCAGTTTGAAAAAAAGTGTATGGATTCCTACTGGGACAATTCTGGAATTCGCTCGCAGCTCACTAAAATCAAAAATGAACTCGTGAAGTTCCTGTTCGGGGAACATATTAGTGCAGAATTAGTCGAGGATTACATGCAACTTCTGGAATCGGACTTCATGTTTATGAAACTCGTCAAAGAATTTGAAGCTCTCGTATTAGACCGACAACTAGAACCCGAGCAACCCTCTACTAGTGGAATCCAGAGTCCACAACATCGTGGAAATTTGCCATCATCATCGAGTCAAACACCTACAGTTCAATCTACTAAAGCATCCTCCGGTAAACGTAAGGCTTCCAAACATCCTTCTGGTGGACAAAAATCTCGCAAATACTCTCGTGAGCAGAAAACCCCCAAATCATCCTATCCAAAAGGAACTCCTAAACGTAAGGATGGGTTTGAATTACTTTCAAATCCATCCGACTCTGAAGATTCGGATTGATTCAATTGATTTGAATGCTAATTTGAGCTAATTTCAACTGATTCAATTGGATTTTTGTTTGAATAAAATACAGTTATCACTTGACATTGTAACTGATCATTTTACACAGTCTTGGTTGGCATGATATCATAGTATGAATTGATGATGCTGACATGCATGTGTGTATTGTGATAATCATGATATTTGCAGCAGTATACCATATTACAACTGTTGATATCGTGCATCCAATATCGACATGATCATGCAGATATACAGTGATGGATTCCAACAATGCATACCATGATTGATACACTTGGATAATGTGTATTCAATCAATAACATGTATTACCAATACAATAGTATGCGTGAGCATCGTGTATTAAACAACTACGATACACACTCAACTGATCCAATACATGCACGGCTTGAACATATCACACAATGCAACATGGATACACTACATTAAAAATACATATAGTATCAGTTTGTCACTAATGAATTGTATTCAGTCGAGTTTATTGAGAGTCTGTTTGTGACTGTTGACAGTATCGTGGGTGTTTTCAGGTACGACTGCTTGATCAGCTGTAGTTGTTGATGATTAACACCAAGAATCCCGATGTACATCATATCAACTATAAATAATCAGGATAATCATTCATGCAACATATAACCGATTTTATTGATATATCTGTTTAGTTTTCAAATTTTCTTGTAACCAAACTTTAGCCGCTTGGTACCACGGAGAGTACTACCAAGTCGCAACGATCTCCTAAGAGTAGATCTGCCATCTGAACTTGAAGTACTTGGTTGTTCAGGCAATCTAACACTATGCATCAAATTCATGATCAGTATCAATATATCAATCGACACATCCACACATCAATACCAAACAACTTACTGTGATGATGACCAGAGCACTTGATCACTGTTTGAAATAGTAGGATATCCATCAGTCGCGACTTCGCATCCACATCCAGGACCAAACCCAATGCGTTTATGTACTCGATCAAATGTCAATATAAGTCGGGTCATAAATGATATAGCAAGAACTGCTCTGTCATTTGAGCCAACTCTTATAGCAAACACAACTATAATCCAACATGTATGTCAGTCAGGTTAATCAAACGGCACATATTGCATACAATTGTCAAATATTTACATTTTTCAGAATCATATCTCTGCATATAGTCTCTAGGACCCAGTTTGATCTCTACAACGGAGTTGCGATTGTCATCAGTTACGGGGTTTTCAGAAAACATTGTAATTGAAAACGACGGCAGCTTTTCCCACTTGATATTGTAGTTGGATGTGGGCACTAGATAATGTTTCAAAAATATGCCATCAATTTCTTCCGGATTGAGCTTGCGCTTGTGTTCGGATTTAGTCTTTCTGACAGTAATCGCACCACTATCAACAATAGCATCAACCAACGCTTTCACTACTACTCTAGGGAAATGCATAAATGTACAACATGTATGTATAACCGAGTACAAAGTATGTCCATGCTTTACTTTTTTTTGGAATTCATCGGGTAGATCCACTTTTTTGCCATTGACTAGTATACTCTTGATGTTGACAGTAAATTCATCATTTGATGGTGATTGTACCCATGCAACACTTGTTCCATCTGTTCCACATTTTGCAGTTACGTCCGTGTTTCCTATATTGATGAAGCTCTCTGAAGTCATGCCATAAGGACATAGTTGAAGACCAATCTCGTTATTGGGAATGGCACCATCATTATACAAAGCATCTATCGCAGGGACTCGTGAATGATGTTTTGACAACGAGGGATAGCCAAATCCAAATACTCCATCAAACCCTGGACTGATACCAACTATATCTGCCGATTGTTTTTCAACTGCTATTACTGGTAAATTGATGTCAGTTATCCTAGTACCCGGAATCGTCACAGCGGCTGTGGAACTAACTCCATTATACTTTTTGCCCCTGTACTTTATAGTAACGGGTTCCCCACTTGAAATACTTTGTATAGCCAAACCTACATCGTCATTTGAACTAGGAAGTGGTACAACTACATCAGAGAAATCTGATTCGACTCGTAAATTCAACTATTTTAAACAAGTGTGAGATTGATTCAACGTGGTGTAAATTGATATCAAACTACAATCCATGACATGATACATACATCAACTCCATCAACATTGGATTTGATTGTGTAACATTGTCCAGCATCACCACCCAATTCAACGGGTGATCGTTTTGACAGCCTATTGTTTGATTGGCCGGCACTTTCAAAAGGTGAATCTAATGAAACTCGAACTGCAGCAACCGCCTGTAACGCAAGTAGAATGCATTCTAGAGTAATCAACATTGTATAGAGTAGTGTGATGAAAATGGTTTGAATCTGATACATGACTGCCGTTTTATAACGACGGCAGCTTCAAGGGTGACAACAAGCAATCTCCAAACGGATATTTAAAAAACGCCAAATACACCCTGTAGGGTTAACAAACCCAGAAACACCTTGTAGGGTGAATCAATACACAAATATTGCTGTTGATGCATAATCAACCTCACTAGTATGCTGCATTAACATTTCCAATTGCGGTCATGTATCCAGTAACCAGATAGCGTCAGATCATTACCCTGATCATGGATATTTATCATCACAACTACAATCCATTACTATAGCATATACTGACACTGTATACCAAATGTTTGACTGATTGTTCAATCAGTCATGTTTGGGATCACCCGGACACAACAGCATCAAACAACCTGTTGTTGCAGTATTTCAAAACCATGACTTTTCCATTGGTATGACTGCACAGTCATTTTAGGTCAATGTAGACTGTATACATCAAACACTGCTGATTGTGTCACAACATGATCAACATCAAACTCGGAAATCTGTCGTTGATACACCGAATGAGTGACATTGTACTATAATTGAATTGGGGATTTACAGGTCGTTCAACAAACTGGCCGTGTCAACAGGTCAGATTGTCATCGTGGTACATGAACCATAATGGATGATCATGCCATTCAAATCAGCACACAATCTACTGGTATATGCAATACAACACCACCAATACAAATCAATACAAACCCAATCACAAACGTGGTGTTGAATCCAATGCATGCGAGTACTTTTAAACACATGATACACACTGATGGTGATGGTTGCTGACAGTCACATTGCAGTGTACATGTCCAATAGTGTCCACTGTCATGTCGATTGTTTCTATCCGTGACATCCAACTGTACTTGTATTCAATGTCTAACAAATACAACACAGTAAACTAGCCACGAGTATCCAAGAGTATGTCAATTGATGTAATCTACCAAAACAGCACGAGTGCAATACAGTTGGTGCAAGATAAAGTGCTTGATTTTACGTGAATATTACGAGTTTGCAAGTAAATATCAATTGGATTGCAATCGATGACAGTGTAAATTCTGCAACATCAGATTCGTGTTTATACATGACTGACAATGAACTAGATTGCAAACCATATCCAGACAGATTCAACCAACTGCTCAACTCCAACAGAAACCACACAGTTCTGCACTTTGTGGTCTCGAGTCCACTAACACAAACTTGTATCTTTGCATTCAAACTCAGATGGGCTTAAAACAAAAGTCAAGAAAACGACAACGAGCATTAGACAAAGTGTATGAGGTCGAGGCTATTGTTGATTTTAGAATCAATGAGGTGTGTGGGGTTGCTTTTACAGACAGTTCAACTGTTTCTACAACCTTGTCAATACATACTGCTGGTTATACTATTATGAATGGCAGTCTGCATATCAACCACACTGGACATTCGTCAATGATAAAGAACACATGTTGATGCTTATCATAGAGTGATGGCTGTATTGCTTCAACACATAACTTGTACAGCAGTACTACAATCACCCGAGTTTTATAAACTGGACTATTGACATCCTGCTTAAACACTCGACTCATTCTCGACAAGCATACCAACCCTTGCTTATTGCCTTTTGTTTCAGTCCATTTTACACCCCAATACAACTACTCTAACCTTCCAGCCTCTTTTTACTACGACTATTCGTTGTTGATATACATTATTGTCCGAATAGGGAAAAGAGCAATTCTTTATCAAATGGAAGGGTTATGCGTCTGTAGAAAACACCTGGGAATCAGCTGGTATGTTATTCCAATCTACAACACATGAACTCTATTAAACACGCCTTTTGTTCAAATGTCGCCAAGCAGATAATGTCTGCAGCCATGTAGTCTACTGCATGCTCAAATTGCTCATGACTATCCAATGATTTGAACATTGCACAGTTTTAATATCAATTGTTCCACAAGTATGCTCTTGCAGTGAATTTCACTGACATTGTTTATTTAATCACCTGTGCCATTGTGACGACATATAGATGTGGTAAATGTAAGTGTAGCATGCATTGTTGTACCAAATGAATGAGTAATCTAACCCGTTTTTGATCATTGGTTCAGGCACCGATATTAATAAAAAAGTTTTGGAATCAGCATCCAAAATTTAAAAATGCCACAAAATTGTCCGAATCTACCCATGAATTGGATACCAACACTGAATTACTCAAGGTGCCTGTAATACATCATACAGTGTTGTTTTTATGAATAGTATGCGTTTGAAACGAGTTTGGCTAATTCTAGTTTACTTGTCCATCAAAAATAACAGTCTCAAAAAAACACTCTTGGTTTGTACTGTTGTCTGCAACTTTTTGTGTTTGATATGATTTGTGATGGGCTTGATGGTTTCCGTGTATCCCGATATGCCCATGTCTAGTAAGACTAATGCATATACTATGCCAACCGTGTTTAGCTAAAAACAAGACTAAATCCCAAAAATCCAAACCAGGCAACAAAAGGAATTCAGAGTTGGATTCATTCACAAAACAGGATACTGTTGATACTGATGAACAAGGTACGCATCTACTGCAATATATTTGCCATTTTTGTCAACCCAACTCAAAGCGTGATCACTTGAAGACATATATCAAGAATATTGGCACTGATATAGTTTTTATTTGTATTGACTAAACTTGATTTTAAAAGACGACCTGAGCAAAGTCTATCATTCGATTGACTCGTTAAGTCGGGCTGTACTTGACAAAGCCTCGTGGGAAAACGATGTTGTAAATATCGAAACTATGGAAGCATCTGCCACAGGTGAAGATGATCTTGCTGTTTACATCAACTGGAAAAATGGCAAAAAGACGGTTGTATCCAGTAAAGTAGCCAATACCAAATGCCCACAAAAGGTGAATGGATTACTATTTGTATTTACCATTGTCTTGAACAGTGCGTTGGATAGGGTAGCGTGCTAATCTCTTGATCCTGTTTTAGATTATCAAATTTTACGAAAATCATATCAAGTTTGGATAAATACTGCAATGTTTTATAATTTGGCTATTCAACCAATGCAATGCAACGTTGACAGTACAATAGTGCTGTATTGACCATCAATTGTTTTGGTATTGCTGGATATACCTGGGCTGATTTTAACCCGAATATCTAATACACAATTAAAAATATATATTAAGCCAATTTACGAGTTTACTAGTAGCATATATGGACAGTTTGTTGGAATATCCAGACGGATACTCTTAAGCGGTAACCTGTGGCAAAGCTAGTTCTAAAAAAGCGCCAACTTAAACACAAGTTAAATCCTTTCATCACCAAAAATCCATGTGCACAGTAACTCCATTACACTCATTTCTAGGACTCGAGCTCTATAAACGGGTAGACGATGTTATTATTAAATTTACTAACTCCAGAAATCAACACTATTGGTTGTCACTTTCGTTTACAACCTCTCATCATTTAACGGGTTAATTGTTCGTATCACAAGACACAAACAATCAACTACTATAAAAGCTAGAATGCTTACTCTTATCAATAAACAACTCTTCAAACTATTTCATCTGTCCAACTACCTTATCAAACCCTTTTCACTACGGTTGAAAAGACTAAGTTTGCTGATCTTGATTTCAAGTGCAACTTCCTCTTGAACTTCTGATTTGTTCTCTTCTGATAACTACTAACAGTTACAGATTATACTTTACCTACTTTACTATACTACATTTTTAAAACAAATCAACGAAGCTCCTAATATTCTGACAGTCATGTGTGTTGATATCTGATTCGACCAACTGATCAATTTGACTGGTTTGACTCGTTCAAAAATGACGAGCCATCGATATACTTGCAGCAGCATATCATATTCCAACTGTTGATATCGTGCATCCAGTATCGATGCAATGTATCAACTCACTCGATATGGTTGGTATTGATCGTTGCAGCTGTCGAGTGCTGTTATTGGCCATGCATGTACCAGTTGTATGTGATTGACATTGACCATCATAACATGTATTCAAGTACAACATACATTGTGACATGTGTGATTGACTATAACTGGTGTGGACTGCAATTGATTGTGCACGGTAGTTTGATATTGTTCGATACTCGGATCATTCAAGTTTGTATTCCTGGTTGTATTCATGACTGGATATTTGATTGGATACTTGACATGACTGGTCATATATGATTTGCACAACAGTCTGGATTGTACAATGATCACTGTTCAGATATACATGTCAAGTGCGTGTATAACCAGGTTGACGATTAATGCAACTGGTGTGTATTGTATGTATTGTGTGCATATACATGTATGGCTTGATCACTCGACATATAGACCGACACGATAATCAGATCGACAATCAATTCGACAACCACCATCACAACCAGGTTGTATGTGGATCATGTTGTAATGTCGAGTGACTGGATACCAGCTCAGTTGCATATAACCCTGCTTGATCTGCACTTGACTATATTGTGGCACATTGACCCTTTAGGGTGGATAAGGGCGGATAGCTACACAATCAACCATATTATATTTGAATACATGATCAAGCAGCGGCTCAATCAAGGCTACAGATTACCATAAGGGGATATCCCTTCAAAGTTACAATGTCACCGAATAGTAAAGCACCATCAACCCTAACAACACAAATCCTTTAGGACGACTACCCAACATGCTTTTAATAGTTTCACTCGACGAATATAAATATGGTCCAAAACTAGCCTGTCAAATAACAACCATTACAACTTGTTTGATCAAACCAATACAATGAAACTAGCAATTGCTTTGTCGTCAATCCTGCTTGTTTGCTCTGTTACTACAGCTAACCCAGTCAATCCCAGTGCAACTACAAGCGCTGAACCTAGTTCTTCTACAGCTGCTTTTACTACAACCACAGATTCCTACTCTAATTTTTTGCCAGCTTCTAGTGTACAGGCTATAAATTCAGTTGATCTTAGTAAACTTTCAGATGATGATAAAAGTTTGATGGGAAAATATCTAGAAACGAGTGAAAATCATAAAAAGATGAAGGAAACGCAGAGGCCAGCAGAATCTAAAATTTTTGATCAAAAAGCATTGATAGAACGTCTGGATGAAAAACATACGAAACTATTGGGTAAATCTCACAACAACGGTGGTTTCGTGTACGAGATTAGAGCCAAGAGGATTAAATCAAGACTCGATAAGCAAAAGAAGATTCTTTTGAAACTTGAAAAAGGAGTATCAGAGTCTCAATTTCAAGATTTTGGATTATGATTGGGAATTGGATGTTATCAGAGAAGAGCTCACAAAGCGCCTGTTTGGAGATGATCTGGATCAATCATCAATTGATTCTTACATAGCGTTTATAAAATTTAATCCCAGATTTATTGAAAGCATCTACAGCTCTCTTAATCGCACACCAGGCCAGCAGCCAGGAACCGAGCAAGCCTCTACTAGTGGAACCCAGAATCAATCACAATATCGTGAAAATCCATCATCCAGTACACATGAAGCTCCCAAATCTTCTCGTCCACAAAAAAAGTCTCGTTCTCATGCAAAGAAAGCTTATACCAAAATTAAGAGTGGACTTGGATCAGGTCCGAATCAAGACAATACAGATCGCGAACCATTGATTTGAACTCATTCCAACTGATTCAATTGGATTTTTGTTTGAATAAAATATAATACAATTGCTACTTGATATTGAATATTGTATGTACATGCATTGTATCTGATCATTGTACACAGTTTGGGTTGACATGGTATCATATTGTACACATTGATGATACTGACATGCATGTATGTATTGTGTCGATATGATATTGCCTGTCATGTCGTATTGTGATAATCATGATATTTGAAGCAGTATACCATATTAAACTGATCCAATACATGCACGGCTTGAACATATCACAATCAAACATGAACACACCACATTAAATATACGTATAGTATCAGTTTGTCACTAATGAATTGTATTCAATCGAGTTTATTGAGAGTTATTGTGTGACTCTTGACAGTGTGGTGAGTGTTTTCAGGTACAGCTACTTGATCAGCTGTAGTTGTTGATGATTAACACCAAGAATCCCGATGTACATCATATCAACTATAAATAATCAGGATAATCATCCATTCAACAAATAACCAGTTTTACTGCTATATCTGTTTAGTTTTCAAATTTTCTTGTAACCAAACTTTAGCCGCTTGGTACCACGGAGAGTATTGCCAAGTCGCGAAAATGATCTCCTAAGAGTGGATGCGAGATCTGGAATTGAAGTACTTGGTCGTTCAGGCAATCTAACAGTATGCATCAAATCCATGATCAGTATCAATCGATACATACACACATCAATATCAAACAACTTACTGTGATGATGGCCAGAGCACTTGATAACCGTTCGAGATAGTAGGATATCCATCAGTCACGGCTTCGCATCCACATTCAGGACCAAATCCAATGCGTTTATTCTGTAAATCAAATGTCAATATAAGTCGGGTCATAAATGACATACCAAGAACTGCATAATCATTTGAACCAACTCTTACAGCAAACACAACTATAATCCAACATGTATGTCAGTCAGGTTAATCAACACATATTGCATACAATTGCCAAACTCGTATCCCTGCATATAATCTGACCCAGTTCAATCATCACAATAGAGTTGCGATTTTCAACAGTTACGGAAGTTTGAGCACACATTGCAACTAAAAGTGTCGGCAATTTACTCCAATCAATACTAAAATCGGATTCAAAAACTATACACTATCTCCAAAACATGTCATCAATTTCTTCTTGGTTAAACTTGCACCTAAACATATTATTCTTGGCAGTGATTGTACCACTATCAAGAATAGCAGCAACCAGAGTTTCCACGACTATTTTAGGGAAATACAAATATGTACAAAACACATTTGTATAACCGAGTGCAAAGTACGTCCATTCTCTACAACTTGCTGAAATTCAGCAGGCAGATCCACCTGTTCACCATCAACTAGTATACTCTTGATGTTGATAGTAAATTGATCATTTGATGGTGAGTCTACCCATGCAACATTCCTTCCATCCGTTCCGCATTTTTTAACTACACGAGTATTTCCTATATTGATGAAACTATCTGAAAGCATGATTCAATTCTTGAATTAAAACGCAAACATATACAAATTTTAGAATAAAACAAAAAAGAATCTGCAAAGTTTAATAAACAACATCAAATCAGTCAAATCCAATACTCTAATCAATGGATTCCATCTCAACAACTTATTGGTGATGAAAATAAACCCTGTAAAAACAAATACCTTTACTTGATCATTATTGTACTGATTTACATCAAGAATATTGTTTGCATAAGCGTTTAGCTTTTTTTCCAGTTGGTTTATACCAAAATTACTTGAAATTTGGTAAACTATTCAGCGTATACACTTTAATACTATTACATGTACATTTAGTTTCAAGTTGATCTCATTAAAAATATGAATATACCCAAACAGGAGCCACATCACTTGTACTTTTTAAAATTGGTGTTTAGTTTCAAAAATCTCCATCAAATCCCATAAACCCAGTCAGCAAAAAGATTGGAAAGTAGGGTTTTTTCTCCATTTGAGAGCACCAATTCCATGCAGAGGTTAACCTACCATCAATACAGCTACCAGCATCAAAGAAGTTATCTGACCCAGATCCGTCAAAGGCATGACGGAAAAAGTCACAAAGGATTACTTTGGTAACTTCCTTGATGCCACCAAACGTGGATTCAATAAAAGTGTTGATGGATGGATTGCAAGCAAGATCAGGAAGTTTTGAAAGAGTGGTTGTGATGGGCAAGAGAATACGATAAATCTGAGTGTACTTGTCAATGAACATGAGTGCGTTTGGAACATTCTAGATTCAAAATGCTAGTGATGAGTAATTGAGCGCATCTAGCAACCGATTTATAAAGACAACATCCAAATACATACATGGTCTCCCAAGTGAATGACTGAAGATCCAACCCAATGACCAACACGCTGTTGAGCACGATGCAAAATAGTATGCATGACTCTGGATACACGAGGGGCTGCTTGAACACGATTCAAGCCCTGCCCTGTATCCCTTAATCGGTAATAATTACCATCATCCAAAAGATCTTCTTCGGCAAGTGTCCATAGCATAAACATTTCTGATTCAAGAAAATATTTAAAAGTTAGCAACATCCCTGTAGTAAAATGGTTTCAAGCATCATGTACCATGTAGGACTTCGCGCCATAGAGTGAGTGACTGCAAAACATACTGGTACTGTTTTTCATGTCCATGTGATAGTCGAGCCCCATGATGACCACTTTGAATAGCCAATGAGTATCCATTCTCGGCTCGTTTTGGATCAAACAGCGCTTTTAAATGCTCAATCATTTTATCACAGGGATCACGATTGGTTCGTAAAAAAGCGTGATTGTCGCCAATGGAATAGAGACATTGACGAATAAGTTCGGGTTGGAGATCGTTAGTACAGTATTTTCGAGTTAGGATTTCAACTGCGCGCTCTTTTTGTTTGATTTCAGATTGAATTTGACGACGAGACTTTCCTTCTGAAGTGATTTCCAGTGTTGCAGTTTGAACAAGAGGGTCTTGAAGAACAGCAAGGCCATTTTTATTTTCAAGAACAGAATAGACTGTCTTGATTTTTTTTGAGCAGGAAAACTCGAGCATTTCCTACACATGAAAAGCAATATCAAGAGTATCGACGGACACAAGAAAATAAGCAACATGTTGATGAATATTTAAAATTTCAAGCCAGTCATTACCTTTACTTCTGGTATTTGCGAGTCCTGAAGCATATACACAAGTTTACCATAAGTACTACGCATTTTTTCAGGATTCATGATTTTATGTCGACGCCCAAGCTCAATACTTGGGAAATGTCAGTATATTTCAAATTATATTTTATAGCAAAAACGATACGATAGCAAATCATGCAGTACTTACATGTCTTGAAAAAACTCTGCATTGGATTGGAAATCACGATTTTGAAACAGTTCCTGACCAACTAAATGATAAAGATAATTAGAAAAGACTCGAGATGTGTATAAAGAATCAATATGATTACCTTTATAATCAGCAGCAACAACCAGTCCGCTCAAAACAGCACACAATTCTTTAATCTGAGCAACAATCCGTTTTGTCTTGCTTGAATGAGTCAAGATATCGATTTTATCGGTATATTCCGATACATTCAAGGCAGCATCTAAAAGACGAAGAAACTTGCGTTCGGTAACTTCAAGCCTTAGAGGAATGAATTTTGATCTGTCCAAATACCAGTCAGAAGACTGTACGGATGGAAGATGTTGCTCAACTTCAAGTTGAGCTTCTACTTGTAGATATGTTTCAGCAGAGAGAGGAATAGATGAAGTTGTTACACCAGTCATTGGACTGATAGTTTCAGAAGCTTCAACCAGTCGTTGAACTGTATGAGTTTTGCGACTGCCTTTACGATGCTGATAACTGAAACAGACTTGACAAAAGTCATCCATGCACTCTACACAATGAACTACTGCTGGTTGATCTAAATATCAAACACATGCACATGCGCACCATGCTAGGATGTGATTAGCTGTTTGAAATATGTGTACGGATACAGTCCAGTTGATACCTTCGCATTCAATACAGTTTCCTGAAAACACTGCTTTACAGTGGTCATCATTCACAGCTATCTTCTCTTCCACTTCTGCCATGTCTTCTATCTTTCCGTCTAGAATCTCTCCCAATGACGTCTGTCCAGTCTTTATACAAGAAGTGGATTCTGTCATAGTGGAAGAAACTACAAATGCAGTCGAACTAATCGAATTGGTCATCAACAGCTACTTATTAAACTGTCGCAGTTTGAATGGGTTTTGTCAAGTTGGTTTTTATCCAACTGAAATCTTACAAAATTCATTCATGGAAATACTTTGAGAATGTACGTGAATAACGACAGAATTTTGCCCTTGTTTCCTTCCAGCAAATCTAAATAATTGTTAAAAGTCAGTTCAGTTCGGTTTCTAAATACTAATAGATAGAATTACCTTGAGGTGTCAAGAACTGTGTGGGCACATTTCGCTTATTCAAAAATGATAATACTACTGCCGTGTTGTCGATTTTATGAACTGCAAGCATTGGTCGCTTACTGTATCGTCCCAGACTTTCTCCCGTCCGACTCTAAGAAATAATGTTATCATCCATTCAACCAATGAATCTTGTCAAAATACTTACCTCGAGAGCGTAGATTAAATTCAACGAGTCACTAAATGCAGTGTAGAGATCTTCAACATGAATCTCTTTGGCTTCAAGATACTTGTTCATCCACTCCAAAGATCTCTAAAATATCACATATATACAATGCATTAATTGCTGCAAGGCTTCAACATGAAATCACTGAAAAATAATTTAAAATGCCTTTTCAAGAGCCTTGTCGTCTCCACTGATACTGTTTTCTTTGCGCTTAAAAGTCATGGGTGTTCCAAGATATCCTCCTGTCCCGCCAAACTTTGTAGGTGATCCAGACTGAACATGATAGAAAAAAATGGTGAATCCCAAAAATACATGGTCATTTCAACTCAATCAACTCACCAGTGTTGCCTGTCGTTGCGGGGCACTGCTAAAAGCAGAATGTACAATCTCATCATGGCTCTGCACAAATAACCCAACATTAAAAAATACAACCATGTTTATAATCAAACATCGTGTGCTATACTTACATTGGAGCTAGCAAGTCCGTCTTGATGTGAATCGGTTGGATGACTCGCTTCAGCGTGATCTCCATCTGAACTGGATAAAAATGATGGCTGTAAATGATGTCCAGTAGTCGTGGCGCTCACTGCGCTAGAACGGGTTTGTATAGCTGCTGCAAGTACACCTAAAGCACCATGATTGGTTGAAAACACTCCAGGAATGCGTTTGGGTGGAATCACCTGCGGCGGATGGTCGTCTGGGTTATCATGTTGAGTGGATGGATGAGCATGGATGGAATCCACAGAATCTGTACTCGTACTGGTTGGCACATGCGGATCTGGGTGTGGATCTTCATTGTGAACGATACTGGGTCGCACAGGTGGACGTGGTCGTGTCTGAGGTGGTGAATGTTGGATTGGCTGGGCTGACTGGATAACCGCAGGAGCAGCCTCGGAACCAAGATTTTCCTCTGAACCAGAATGAATTTGCTGGTCTACATACACTTGAGAAATAGGGCGATGAGGAAGAGTCACTGCTGGTGGAGTACGAGGTTGTGGAGTATATGATTGAGGTTGTAAAAGGTTTAATTCTACACCAGAAACTGGTCGAGAACGAGGAGCGGGTCGTGGTGGAGTAGCAATGGGTTCGGATCCAGAAGAAATACAAGATGGATTCGCTGTCTCGATTGCATGAACATTGGATACAGAGCTGGACAAAGCCATGTCAGATGTAGAAGGTCGTGGGCGTACCAAAGGAGGAGATGGATGAACAGTGTTGCTTTCCAAATGTTCGTTTACAGAAACAATCGGCTTTTCAGACGTATTCACTTGAGCTGATTCTAAAAATAAAAGCCATGTATTCACCATCAGTAAGTATGCGTGTCGCATTTCCATTTAGACATTAAATCATATCAAATATCCATGAAAAAAAACAACTCACCATTATGATCAGTCGTCTTGCGTAAAGCATTGCCACCTCGCATGACAGAAGCAAGAGCACTCATGGCATTTGATGGAGCAGGTTTTCTACCGTGAATTTCTGTATGACTGCTTGCAGATTCGCTCACTTCAGTTCCTGCCTCAGTATCACCTGTACCAGATGTAAGAGCTGGCGAGACAGCGCCTACATGGGCAGACATGGATTCAGCTTCAACCATACTTAGACGATACAACTCTTCTCCACGTTCAACTGGACTTGATTGAGATACTTCCGTGGGAGCTTTTGCAGATGTGGGATATGCACCACCACTTGCGACAAAAATAGTTTCGTCTAAAGTGGTGCTGGGTATTTCAGAGTGTAAAACATGTGGAAGTACCAGAGTTTCGGGTACGTCCGTCTTGACTTCAGTTGAATGATCTTTCGCGACTTCGTCACTCGTGTGATCGTCTTTAGTGCCCGATCGCATGGGTTTGGGTCGACCTTTTGTCAAATGGTTCAACATGGACTTGAATCCACCGAAACCCGACTTTTTCTTTTCAGCAGTCTGTGCAATCGCAACAGAAGAATTTGACGTTGTAGCGGTATCCGAAGGTCGAGGGGTAGATTGACTGGTTTGTCTTTGATACTGTTCATCAATACGACTCATGGATGAAGTCAATGTACCATCAGGCATGGATGTATGCGAGATAGTAGCAGATTCGGTGTGATCTAAATCAGCAAGATCGGGGTTATACGAGCTAGCAGGTCTTGAGGTAGCCTCAAAACGCTGACCAGCACCATGCTCAACTTCAACAGAAACAATTGTTTTTGGACGGGGTTTTACTGGTAGTTGCATAGGAGGACGAACTGCTGAAGATCGGGCTGGAGCAGGTGGTTGATGTTCTACTGAAACGCGATGATCCGAAGCAGTAGAATGACCCATGGACGAAGATGAAGTAAACTGCGAATGTTGCATGACTTCAGCATCAGTGTCAGCTGAACGTTCAGGCGATGAAGTCTAAATAAATAGTCATTAGATTTAGTAGTATAACAGTAACAGTATATTAAAAATGCACGACTGTACCTTTGATTTGGAAGGAGAAGACATGGGTGTAGCGGAATCATTTAAAAACAATTCAACTGCTTCAATTGTTTGATCAATTTGTAAATTCACACATGAGTCAGTGCCTTTGAATGTGGTCTCCAAAATATCCGAGTACCGACTGAGAAGCATGGGTTGTAGTTGAGAATCGATATAGTCTTTGGCAACAAGATTGAAGCCAGGCGTGACAGACAAGTCGCGAGTAATCTCATCAATAGTGGTTTGAATATGAACCAAGTCATCGCCATCTATTTGAATAGTAAGATTCAAGTAGTACAAGCATGATGGCATTTAATTAGTAAAAAAGGGATGATC